GGTTCTTTTAAGGTGGACTGCTATTTGTAATCTCATATTCATTATCTCCAGCACCACACCAGTGTCTTCATATACATTGAGTATACAAAATCTTGTATACTCCATGCCCGTTGAATTTAGGCTGTTTTGAGGGCAAAAGGGGGGGTGCAACTCAATATTAGGAAGGTGAAAACAGCAATAAAGGATGCGGTTAAAAAACTGTGAGGCGTACCTTTATAATTTATTCTCAGAACAGGCGGTGGGTGTAAGATTATCTGAAAATCTTGAGAGTTTGAAAAATAAGTCGAGTTTTTCAACCATTTGGGTCGCAACCACATACTACCCCCACATCCGTATTGATAGGATTTATGTTTCCATGACAATATATTTAAGTGACATCACAGCATTGAGCAGTTATAGAGGTTTTTCTGAGTGGCTCAGCTCTCCAATCTTATAGAAGACCTCAGCAACGAACTTCAGAGTGAACGAATCTGCTGAGCAAGACGCAGTTAGGGATATAGCATTTTGATGGGCATGGATATCGTGGAAATGGTGGAGGTCGTGGGCATTGCCCTGGGAGTCATAGGATTAATACTTACCATCGTGATCTGTGCACTCCCCACCTGGATAGAGACAACCTTCATAGCAGATAACTTTGCCACCACAGAGGTGCACTTGCTTGGCCTGTGGATGAGTTGTGTGACCCAAAGCACGGGACAGACACAGTGTAATGTGCACAACTTAAGGGGGAACTGGCCCCCACAGTATGGAGAATGCCGGAGCCATGATCATCACTGCCATCATCCTGGGGGTTCTGGGGGGTCACGGTCTCCATGGTTGGAGCCAAGTGCACCAACTGCATCAAAGAACAAACGTCTCAGGCCAAGTTGATAATTATATCTGGAATACTTTTCATCCTGGCCGGAATTCTCATCCTCATCCCTGTTTCCATGGTAGCCAGATCAATCAACAGTGAAAACTCCAAGTGGATCAGAGGGAAGGCTGAGCTGGGGGCCTCGCTGTACTTCGGCTGGGGGGCGGCCGCCCTGCTCCTGATTGGAGGTTTCATACTGTGCATCACTGTGGGAGTCTTTGGATGGATGATGGGAATCTGTGGATGGGTAGTCTCCCTAGTGCCCTGTTCTATCATTATATTGGGCCCCCATGGGTATGGTCCTGAACACTATAGGCACATATGGATGGATATGCTGAAGATCACCTGCATCTCCACCATCCTGGGAGCTCTAGGAGTGATGGGGTCCATCTTTGGGACCAAGTGCTGTAACTGCATCAAGAGTAACAGGACCAGGGTCAAGGCCAGGTTCATCGTTGGAATATTCTTCATCCTGGCTGGTATCCTGCAACTCACCACTGTCTTCTTGGTCTATTACTTGACACAGAATATTCCAGAATACTGGAGGGAGTATATGTTATTTTCCACTGAATTCTGTAGATGGTCCGCCTCCATGCTCCTGATAGGAGGGACCATACTCTGCTGCAGCACCTTGAAGAGGAAGAACCCAGACTCAACAATGACTAAATCTGCCTCCCACTAATGTCTCTGTCCAAAAGCTGTACTTTCTTGTTATAAAAACCATAGGGATCCAATAATTGCAATTCTATACGTAATTATATGATGAAAAATTGCCTCTATCCTATCTGTTCAATGTTAGAATATCAGAAGGGACTAGATAGGTGTGAAAGCAACATCGTTATTGTTCCACCTTCTATTTAACAGGTCAAAGGGGAGTATGACATATTGTGTTAAAATATTCAGTTAATTTAGACTGTGAGGAGAAGTTCCTGAGGAGACTACAATGAAGGGACATATTCTCACTGTTACCTCGCTGTACTTCGGCTGGGGGCGGCCGACCTGCTCCTGGTGCATTAATAGAGACATTCCCAACTTAACAACTCACTTAAATTCCATAACTGGTATCTTGTATGATCTTATGTTACCATAGCCCAGTGTTTCTTAATATAAGTGCACAGAATTAGTCTTCAAAAGTCTTAGGGGAGCTTGTGCAATATTGCCATATTGCTTACTTTTGCCAGGGCAACAACAAAACAGTTGGGGTAGAAACAGGCTCACTAGTTCCTCACACACAGTAACGACCTGTCACACCCTGGCTCTGGGACTCATTATGTTGAGCCAGGGTGTGTTCATTCTATGTGTTCTGTTTCTATGTTGGGTGTTCTAGTTCGTCATTTTCTATGTTTGACTGAGTGACTCCCAATCAGAGGCAACGAGTGTCAGCTGTTTGCTGGTTGTCTCTGATTGGGAGCCATATTTAAACTGTATGTTTTCCCTTGGGTGTTGTGGGTTTTTGTTCCGTGTCGGTATTTGTTTACCGTGGACTTCACGAGTCGTGTTTTGTTTGGTATACTTTACTAATTAAAGTCATGTTTGTTTCACACGCTGCGCCTTGGTCTACTCACTCCTCTAACGATCGTGACACGACCACACACTTCACCACATCTGTACAGGTTGTGTTTCCATGGCAGCAGATGATGTCAAGCGCCCTTGGGCTTCTGACTGGCCGGGCTCTCTAGTATCACAGAAGAACTCTGCAACAAACATCTGTGAGAAAAGAACGTTGAACAATCTGCTGTTTTAGAACTTTGCTTGCAAAGAATGAAGCTGTAGGCCTGTAGCATCCAGGATCTTCTCTGGAAATATAACATATTCACTGTTCTGAAGTCTCTTTGTTGAGTCACATCCTTGTTCTTCAAGGAAGTGCATGTTGATGGGCATGGAGATCGTGGGCATCACTATGGGAGTAATGGGATGGATTGTCTCCATAGTGGCCTGTGCTTTGTTTACATCGGGATTGATGGACTTTCCACAGTACAGAGAGGTCAGACTAACTCAGATCATCACCTACTTCTCCATTATTCTAGGGTTGCTAGGGATGATACTCTCCATCTCAGCTACAGTGCACCAACTGTACCCAGAGAAATATGAATATGTCTAAAGTTGAAGTGATTATCTTTGGCGGAATATTCTTCATCCTGGCTGGTCTCATCCACCTGATCTTGATCTTCTTGGTTGCCCTTGACTTGACACCAAACTCGGACCATGAGAACTTCCTGCGGAGTAATAACCTGATGTTCTCAGCTGAATTTAATAGGTGGGCCTCTTCACTGCTTCTGATAGGAGGGACCATAGTCTGCTGCTGCTTCATGAGAAAAGCCTGAGTTGACAACTGTCTCTGATTCCCTAAATCGTGTCTTACACGACCTTAATTTATCTGAGCCATTCTACCACTCTAAGCAATAGGTTGTAAGCAATACATACAGTATAGTTGGAAGCAATATGATTATTGATAATGGCTACACTTTAAATGTTAGTCTTCAATGCAGACTTTGATCAGTTGAATCAGGTGTGTTATTGCCTGGCTGGAACAAAAGCCTGCACCCACACGGGCACTTTCAGGGACTGATAATGTTCTTTGAATCAGTAATCCTTACTAAAAATGGCCACATAAAAAATATTGCCATGTGTTGAATCAGTGATGCACAGAATAGACTCACAGTTACCACTTCCTTTTAAAACCACTTGAGAGGGAGATGTAAGCATGCTGTCTAAGGGCTGGGGTTGAAGTGGGATGTTTCTATAGGTGGTGGAAATACCACCAAATTAAACTACTTTTCTATTATTATTTACAATAAAATGCAACTCTTTTTAAATTGCAACTCTTGTGCTGTCTCCTGACTTCATTTGGTGGCACCTCGTGCTTCTTCCTACCCCAGGGTTGTTTCTGGACTGGGCCAAGGTCTTATCATGGTCTAGGTAGTACGTACGTGGTCTGAGTTCTTAACCAGATGTTAGTGGGTCAAATATAAGATTCCATCATCGCCAATGTAAGCTATGGTGGACTTAGCGATTTGGGAGCCCATTTCAAAATGCCTTTGAGGAGACCCCCTACCCGCCAAAACGGACATTCCACTGTAAATGAACCGCTATAATTATTCATTTGCGTTAAGTTTTTATTTTATTTCAGGCAATTATGAAATGTAAATGCCCTTTAAAGCTGTGGCTAACACATTTGGGTAAAAACAACTGTCAGAATCAGTCGGTAAGGGCCCCATGACAGCTGCGTGCAAGTTACTTGTTGTTTTCACACCCATCACTTCCTGTCTGTTTCTGTCCTACCAACCCTAGGCCAAGTTTACACCTGACATCTCTTATCGAACGCAGACACCAGCCTGACCTATTTACCATAAGCGCTCAACTTTACGTCTGCTTCATTAATTTCTAACTATGGTTTCATGTAAAAGGGCAAAATAAATTGGTCTATCTGTTCATATCAACTGATTTAGATTTAAACCTAACTGTGTTTTCCCCATTTGGTCACAGCTGCAGACGTAATTATGACTTCTTCCTAATATTTGATAGTAATTCTGAAGTTGAGTTGATATCACCAGGCTCCCCATTTCTACCTAGTTCCTCATTGGTGTCTGTGTCTGAGTAGTGAGGAACTACAAGGACATAGTTTTGATCTGGTTCTGTTCGTAAAGTCATTTTCAGTAGAAATGAAAAAGTCAGGGATGAACGGCATACAGTGTTGTATTTTTGTTTACAGCTCCTTTATTGCAGTAGGGTCACCCAGGGATCTTATGAAATATATTGTGTTGGTGTGTGTTGGGTCTCATATTCCTCAGCAGGATCCAAGAGGTTTAAGGAAATGTATTTGGATATACACTGACTCTCTGTTTTGATCTGCCCTTTACAGATCTCCCCATAGAGTGTAAACAACTTGTCTATTTCTACTGACCTTCTGTGTGTGTAGACAGACAGACAGACAGACAGACAGACAGACAGACAGACAGACAGACAGACAGACAGAGAAAGGCAGTGTATAGCCAACATACATCTCCCTGAACTCAGCCATTTCTTTATGAAGAATATGAACTGTTCTACTCTTCTGGATTTTTGGGGGGTTCGTATCATTTGATTTACACAACATGCCTACCACTTTGAAGATGCAAAATATTTCATTGTGAAACAAAGAAGAAATAAAACTTGAGCGTGCATAACTATTCACCCCCCCCCCCCCCAAAGTCAATACGTTGTAGAGCCACCTTTTGCAGCAATTACAGCTGCAAGTCTCTTGGGGTATGTCTCTATACACTTGGCACATCTAGCCACTGGGATTTTTGCCCATTCTTCAAGGCAAAACTGCTCCAGGTCTTTTCAAATTGGATGGGTTCCGCTGGTGTACGGCAATCTTTAAGTAATTCCACATATTCTCAATTGGATTGAGGTCTGGGCTTTGACTAGGCCGTTCCAAGACATTTAAATGTTTCCCCTTAAACCACTCCCCTTAAACCACCCCTTAACTCAGTATGCTTAGGGTCATTGTCCTGCTGGAAGGTGAACCTTTAACCCAGTTTCAAATCTCTGGAAGACTGAAACAGGTTTCCATCAAGAATTTCGCTGTATTTAGCGCCATCCATCATTCCTTCAATACTGACCAGTTTCCCAGTCCCTGCCGATGAAGAACATGGTGTTCTTCGGGTGATGAGAGGTGTTGGGTTTTTCCAGACATAGTGTTTTCCTTGATGGCCAAAAAGCTCAATTTCAAATCAAATCAAATCAAATTGTATTTGCCACATGCGCCGAATACAACAGGTGTAGACATTACATAAAATGCTTACTTACAAGCCCTTAACCAACAATGCAAAGTAAAACAAATAAAAAAAGTGTTAAGCAAAAAAAAATAATCTGCAAATAACTAAAGAGCAACAGTAAAATAAAATAACAGTAGGGAGGCTATATACAGGGGTGTACCGGTGCAGAGTCAATGTGCAGGGGCACCGGCTAGTCGAGGTAATTGAGGTAATATGTACATGTGGGTAGAGTTAAAGTGACTATGCATAAAAAATAAACAGAGTAGCAGCAGAGTAAAAAAGGGGGACGGGGTGGGGTCGGGGGGGCAGTGTAAATTGTCCGGGTAGCCATTATTAGCTGTTCAGGAGTCTTATGGCTTGGGGGTAGAAGCTGTTGAGAAGCTTTTTGGACCTAGACTTGGTGCTCCGGTACCGCTTGCCGTGTGGTAGCAGAGAGAACAGTCTATGACTAGGGTGGCTGGAGTCTTTGACAATTTTTAGGGCCTTCCTCTGACACCGCCTGGTATAGAGGTCCTGGATGGCAGGAAGCTTGGCCCCAGTGATGAACTGGGCCGTACGCACTACCCTCTGTAGTGCCTTGCGGCCGGAGGCCGAGCAGTTACCATACCAGGCGGTTATGCAACCAGTCAGGATGCTCTTGATGGTGCAGCTGTAGAACTTCTTGAGGATCTGAGGACCCATGCCAAATGTTTTCAGTCTCCTGAGGGGGAATAGGCTTTGTCGTGCCCCTCTTCACGACTGTATTTTATCTCTGAGGGAAGGGTCCTTTATCCTTATTATACAACAAAGATGATATGAAACCCAGGCTGTGTCTGTCTTGTTAGACCATTATACAGTGCATTTGTATTCAAACCCCTTGACTTTTTCCACATTTTGTTACGTTACAGCCTTTTTCTAAAATTGATTAAATCGGTTTTTTTCCCATCATCAATCTACACACAATACCCCATAATGAAAAAGCAAAAAAACAGGTTTTTAGAAATTGTAGCAAATTGTTTAAAAATAAAAAACGGAAATATAACATTTTCATAAGTATCCAGAATCTTTACTCAGTACTTTGTTGAACCACCTTTGGCATCGATTACAGCATTGAGTCTTCTTGGGTATGAAGCTACATGCTTGGCACACCTGTATTCAAAAAAAAAATAATGTATGCACGCATGACTGTAAGTCGCTTTGGATAAAAGCGTCTGCTAAATGGCATATTATATTATATTATATTATATATTATATTATATTATTATATTATATATTATTATATTTATTCTGGGAGTTTCTCCCATTTTTCTCTGCAGATCCTCTCAAGCTCTGTCAGGTTGGATGGGGAGCGTTGCTGCACAGCTATTTTCAGGACTCTCCAGAGATGTTCGACCGGGTTCAAGTCAGGGCTCTGGCTGGGCCACTCAGGGACATTCAGAGACTTGTCCTGAAGCCACTCCTGCGTTGTCTTGGATGTGTGTTTAGGGTCGTTGTCCTGTTGGAAGGTGAACCTTCGCCCCAGTCTGAGGTCCTGAGCGCTCTGAAGCAGGTTTTAATCAAGGATCTCGCTGTACTTTGCTCCATTCATCTTACACTCGATCCTGACTAGTCTCCCAGTCCCTGCCACTGAAAAATATCCCCACAGCATGATGTTGCCACCACCATTCTTCATTCAGGCCAAAGAGTTCAATCTTGGTTTCATCAGACCAGAGAATCTTGTTTCTCAAGGTCTGAGAGTCTTTAGGTGCCTTTTGTCAAACTGTAATGTGCATTTTACTGAGGAGTGACTTCCATCTGGCCACTCTACCGTAAAGGCCTGATTGGTGGAGTGCTAGAAAGATGGTTGTCCTTCTAAAAGGTTCTCCCATCTCCACAGAGGAACTCTGGAGCTCTGTCAAAGTGACCATCGGGTTCTTGGTCACCTCACTGACCAAGGCCCTTCTCCCCTATTGCTCAGTTTGGCCGGGCAGCCAACTCTAGGAAGAGTCTTGGTGGTTCCAAACTTATTCCATTTAAGAATGATGGAGGCCACTGTGTTCTTGGGGATCTTCAACGATGCAAACAATTTTTGGTACCCTTCCCCAGATCTGTGCCTCGACACAATCCTGTCTCGGAGCTCTAAGGACAATTCCTTCGACCTCATGGCTTGTGTTTTGCTCTGACATGCACTGTCAGCTGTGGGACCTTATATAGACAGGTGTGTGCCTTTCCAAATCATGTTGAATCAATTGAAATTACCACAGGTGGACTCCAATCAAGTTGTAGAAACATCTCAAGGATTATCAATGGAAACAGGATGCACCTGACCTCAATTTGGAGTCTCGTAGCAAGGGGTCTGAATACTTATGTAAATAAGGTATGTTTTTTTGTTTGTTTTTTACACATTTGCAAAAATCTCAAAATAATTGTTTTTGCTTTGTCATTATGGGGTATTGTGTGTAGATTGATGAGGGAAAAAAACAATTTAATCAATTTTAGAACAAGTTTGTAACGTTAAAAAAATGTGGAAAATGACAAGGGGTCTGAAAACTTTCTGAATGCACTGTAAATGGCCAAGTGGGTAACAGCAAGGCCAAGGTCTTTAGTGATGTCTCAGCACTGACCGACTGACCATTAGCTGTCTGTCAACGACACTGGGATTTACACAGAACAACATGAACTGCTTTAGTGCCACTGCACCAGTTGTATAACGCTCATAGACACTTAGCCTACCTACCTGTCTCTTTCTGACCTGTGTTCAATACTCACCTACCTGTCTCTATCTGACCTGTATTCAAAACTCACCTACCTGTCTCTATTTTACCTGTGTTCTATACTCACCTACCTGTCTCTATCTTACCTGTGTTCAATACTCACCTACCTGTCTCTTTCTGACCTGTGTTCAATACTCACCTACCTGTCTCTATCTGACCTGTGTTCAAAACTCACCTACCTGTCTCTTTCTTACCTGTGTTCAATACTCACCTACCTGTCTCTATCTTACCTGTGTTCAATACTCACCTACCTGTCTCTTTCTGACCTGTGTTCAATACTCACCTACCTGTCTCTGTCTTACATGTGTTCAATACTCACCTACCTGTCTCTTTCTTACCTGTATTCAATACTCACCTACCTGTCTCTTTCTGACCTGTGTTCAATACTCACCTACCTGTCTCTATCTGACCTGTGTTCAAAACTCACCTACCTGTCTCTTTCTTACCTGTGTTCAATACTCACCTACCTGTCTCTATCTTACCTGTGTTCAATACTCACCTACCTGTCTCTTTCTGACCTGTGTTCAATACTCACCTACCTGTCTCTGTCTTACATGTGTTCAATACTCACCTACCTGTCTCTTTCTTACCTGTATTCAATACTCACCTACCTGTCTCTGTCTTACCTGTGTTCAATACTCACATACCTGTCTCTTTCTTACCTGTACTCAATACTCACCTACCTGTCTCTATCTTACCTGTTTTCAATACTCACCTACCTGTCTCTATCTTACCTGTTTTCAATACTCACCTACCTGTCTCTTTTTACCTGTGTTCATTACTCACCTACCTGTCTCTATCTTACCTGTGTTCAAAACTCACCTACCTGTCTCTTTCTTACCTGTGTTCTATACTCACCTACCTGTCTCTTTCTTACCTGTGTTCAATACTCACCTACCTGTCTCTATCTTACCTGTGTGCAACAATAATGGTGTTCATAAACTCCTGTGAGATTTATAGAGACATCAACACAGAGGAGAAAAAGCCCATCCAACGCTAAGTGATGTCACTGTTCTAGAACCACCCAGAGCTGTAGTATGCATACCAAGTAGATATCTGGTAGTTCAGAGGGTCACTGTTCTAGAACCACCCAGAGCTGTAGTATGCATACCAAGTAGATATCTGGTAGTTCAGAGGGTCACTCTTCTAGAACCACCCAGAGCTGTAGTATGCATACCAAGTAGATATCTGGTAGTTCAGAGGGTCACTCTTCTAGAACCACCCAGAGCTGTAGTATGCATACCAAGTAGATATCTGGTAGTTCAGAGGGTCACTCTTCTAGAACCACCCAGAGCTGTAGTATGCATACCAAGTAGATATCTGGTAGTTCAGAGGGTCACTCTTCTAGAACCACCCAGAGCTGTAGTATGCATACCAAGTAGATATCTGGTGGTTCAGAGGGTCACTCTTCTAGAACCACCCAGAGCTGTAGTATGCATACCAAGTAGATATCTGGTAGTTCAGAGGGTCACTCTTCTAGAACCACCCAGAGCTGTAGTATGCATACCAAGTAGATATCTGGTAGTTCAGAGGGTCACTCTTCTAGAACCACCCAGAGCTGTAGTATGCATACCAAGTAGATATCTGGTAGTTCAGAGGGTCACTCTTCTAGAACCACCCAGAGCTGTAGTATGCATACCAAGTAGATATCTGGTGGTTCAGAGGGTCACTCTTCTATAACCACCCAGAGCTGTAGTATGCATACCAAGTAGATATCTGGTGGTTCAGAGGGTCACTCTTCTAGAACCACCCAGAGCTGTAGTATGCATACCAAGTAGATATCTGGTGGTTCAGAGGGTCACTCTTCTAGAACCACCCAGAGCTGTAGTATGCATACCAAGTAGATATCTGGTAGTTCAGAGGGTCACTCTTCTAGAACCACCCAGAGCTGTAGTATATTTGTTTTGCTCTCCTTGTTGGGATCAAACAATTGATTCCCGTTCAAAATCATTTTTCCCCTAAACCCTAACCCTTAACCTAACCCTAACCTTATCTCCCCCACCAACTTCCCACTTGCTGACTGCTAGCTCTAAGTGCACTCCTCTGAACAACACTCTGTCTGTCTTCCATGCCTGGTATTACAACAGACTGGACATGTGTGGTCTATAGAGTGGATTTGAGATACAGTTTTGCCAATAGGCTCCTGCTGAAAATTCTGCCTTCATAAGGAAAAACATGAAGACTGATTGGGTTATGGTGGTTGGCTTGAAAGAAAATACAGACACCCGATTAGTTGATGCTTGGCAGTGAGTTCTTTGAATATGATCAAGGCTGGAAAATAGGACACCCCCCCTTCTGCTTAAGTTACCTCCCGTTCACAGATCTGATAGGAATGGATAGGTGAAAGCAATATGGCAGAATCGAGGTGGGGTTGTCCATCAATCACACTCCAGGCACATCATGTAGATCTGAGATGCAAAAAGTAGCTTCACCTTGCCATCTCATACAGGCATGGAATTACACGCACACAGTACTCTCTCTCTCTCTCTCTCTCTCTCTCTCTCTCTCTCTCTCTCTCTCTCTCTCTCTCTCTCTCTCTCTCTCTCTCTCTCTCTCACCTAATATCTTTAAACCAACCCCTGCAGTGGTTTCATTCACCAGTCAGGTGTCTAGAGTCCTGGCAGGCTGTGAAGCAACCCCTAACCTCAGACATGCATGTGCTAGTATATGACTAAGTAAGTACTGGTGCTGTTTGAATCATTTCATCTGGGCAGTTTATAAATGTGAATAAACGTATAAACCATACACCTGTAGGCCAATGACCAGGTCAGACTGGTTCAGCTGTACACAGGTGTTGTAGCTCCCATTTAAGTACGAAGGCAGCATGCAGCGCTCCATACTCCATTACTTTAAAATCACTATCTAATTGCTGTTATGTTTTATTTCTGTTGCCTTCGTACTTCAATGAAACTAGTTTTTAAAATTGAACCAGCAACATGATTCAGTGTTTTTAAAAACATTCCTATTTGTAGTTTAAGAACATATAACAAAGCTACTTGTCCATGACTGCAGACATGTCAGGCATTTCTATTAACCCTTTTATAACAACAGTGAACCGTTCTTTCTTTCTTTACATATCCTAGGGCTCTATTAAAAATCCCAATAGTAAATCTTAGCGATTGCATTGGGCAGGACAAAAAAAAGCCTTCATTGAGGAGGTTATGCTTGGTTTTTAATCAAATGAATTGAAAAACAAGCAATCGATTTTTTAAAACAACAACAATATTTCTAAATAGGATGGGGTCAGAAGCAAGATTTCATTAATCTCATTTCTCTCGTTCCATGGCAATGTCCACTCGTAGGCCTAAATGTCTTTATGCAAAACATTTACACTAATATACAAAATACTAGGCTCCTGTCAATTATATTCGTGGTCCTCTGTAGCTCAGCTGGTAGAGCACGGCGCTTGTAACGCCAAGGTAGTGGGTTCGATCCCCGGGACCACCCATACACAAAAAAAATTTATGCACGCATGACTGTAAGTCGCTTTGGATAAAAGCGTCTGCTAAATGGCTTATTATTTATTATATTGTTGCCTATGTCCGAGACACATTGTCAAACCAATCTGCCATTAATATGGCATTATAGGAGGACAGAATAGTTTGGAGGAGCGGGTCTTTGGTAATCGGACGAGGGGCGCTCTTTGAAAATGGGGATGGATAGCCTACTTGAACAAGCGAAATTAAGTATGCGGGTATGTGAATTGTGAATCATGAAAAAGCATGAGGGCAAAAAAACTCAAATATTTCAAGGCACTCTCAGCAGACCATTTAAAACCCCTTCATTCATAGGCTACTTGGCTAATGTATGGCCAGGATAAAAATATGTACCTTTGCGAAGCTGCTAAACCAGCTTTGATTAATTAAGGGGAGGGTAGGCTATGCTTGGTTTTTAATCAAATTAAATTAAATGGGGGGAAACCAATAGTTTTTTATGTTTCTTAATACGAGATCAACTGGCACAAATGGCACATCTCTCCTTCCATGGGCACTGTGCTGCATTGCTGGATAGGCTGCGCTTCTGCTCTCATAATCCATGCCATTATCAACTGCTTTACATGAAGACCTGCTTTTTGGTGGGACTTAAAATGTCTTAAAGGTGGACTGCTTATTTGTAATCTCATATTCATTATCTCCAGCACCACACCAGTGTCTTCATATACATTGAGTATACAAAATCTTGTATACTCCATACCCGTTGAATTTAGGCTGTTTTGAGGGCAAAAGGGGGGGTGCAACTCAATATTAGGAAGGTGAAAACAGCAATAAAGGATGCGGTTAAAAAACTGTGAGGCGTACCTTTATAATTTATTCTCAGAACAGGCGGTGGGTGTAAGATTATCTGAAAATCTTGAGAGTTTGAAAATAAGTCGAGTTTTTCAACCATTTGGTTCGCAACCACATACTACCCCACATCCGTATTGATAGGATTTATGTTTCCATGACAATATATTTAAGTGACATCACAGCATTGAGCAGTTATAGAGGTTTTCTGAGTGGCTCAGCTCTCCAATCTTATAGAAGACCTCAGCAACGAACTTCAGAGTTAACGAATCTGCTGAGCAAGACGCAGTTAGGGATATAGCATTTTGATGGGCATGGATATCGTGGAAATGGTGGAGGTCGTGGGCATTGCCCTGGGAGTCATAGGATTAATACTTACCATCGTGATCTGTGCACTCCCCACCTGGATAGAGGCAACCTTCATAGCAGCTAACTTTACCACCACAAAGGTGTACTTGCGCGGCCTGTGGATGAGTTGCGTGACCCAAAGCACGGGACAGACAGCGTGTAATGTGCACAACTTAAGGGGGAACCCCAGTATGGAGTATGCCGGAGCCATGATCCTCACTGCCATCATCCTGGGAGTTCTGGGGGTCACGGTCTCCATGGTTGGAGCCAAGTGCACCAACTGCATCAAAGAACAAACGTCTCAGGCCAAGTTGATAATTATCTCTGGAATACTTTTCATCCTGGCCGGAATTCTCATCCTCATCCCTGTTTCCATGGTAGCCAGATCAATCATCAGTGGCTACTCCAAGTGGATCAAAGTGAAGGTTGAGCTGGGGGCCTCGCTGTACTTCGGCTGGGGGGCGGCCGCCCTGCTCCTGATTGGAGGTTTCATACTGTGCATCACTGTGGGAGTCTTTGGATCGATGATGGGAATCTGTGGATGGGTAGTCTCCCTAGTGCCCTGTTTTATGACTATATTGGGCCCCCATGGGTATGGTCCTGAACACTATAGGCACATATGGATGGATATGCTGAAGATCACCTGCATCTCCACCATCCTGGGAGCTCTAGGAGTGATGGGGTCCATCTTTGGGACCAAGTGCTGTAACTGCATCAAGAGTAACAGGACCAGGGTCAAGGCCAGGTTCATCGTTGGAATATTCTTTATCCTGTCTGGTATCCTGCAGCTCACCATTGTCTTCTTGGTCTGTTACTTGATACAGAACAATCCAGAATACAGGGGGGAGTATATATTATTTCCCACTGAATTCTGTAGATGGTCCGCCTCCATGCTCCTGATAGGTGGGACCATACTCTGCTGCAGCACCTTGAAGAGGAAGAACCCAGACTCAACAACGACTACATCAGCCTCCCACTAATGTCTCTGTCCAGAAGCTGTACCTTCTTGTTATAAAAACCATAGGGGATCCAAGAATTGTGATTCTATACGTAATTCTATGATGAAAAACGGCCTCTATCCTATCTTTTCAATGTTAGAATATCAGAAGGGACTAGATAGGTGTGAAAGCAACATAGTTATTGTTCCACCTTCTCTTTAACAGGTCAAAGGGGAGTTTATGACATATTGTGTTCAAATATTCAGTTAATTTAGACTGTGAGGAGAAGTTCCTGAGGAGACTACAATGAAGGGACATATTCTCACTGTTACCTCTCTGATTTCCTATATCCGTATTGATACTTCTCTTTATGTTTCTTTAAAATGGGATTAATTTAAGTAGAGAAAGAATTGAATCAGAAGTTGATTGTTTAACTCTGTTAAAGATGTTCATAAAAAAACGTATCTGACTGCAAAGCGTTTCCTGGTTGCTGCTTTGCATTTCCTGTTTATGTTCACCACATTAACCACAAGCTACAGTCAGTGACTGGGACCTTCTGACTGAAACATATATCATAGTGTAGAATTATATCAAGCCATGTCCATGAAACTGTTATCATTAGTCTATGAAGTTCTCTCACGTCACCCCCCCCTCCTCCGCACACTCCACTGGCTTCCAGTTGAAGCTCGCATCCGCTACAAGACCATGGTGCTTGCCTATGGAGCAGTGAGGGGAACGGCACCTCTGTACCTTCAGGCTCTGATCAGTCCCTACACCCAAACGAGGACATTGCGTTCATCCACCTCTGGCCTGCTGGCTCCCCTTCCTCTGCGGAAGCACAGCTCCCGCTCAGCCCAGTCAAAACTGTTCGCTGCTCTGGCACCCCAATGGTGGAACAAGCTCCCTCACGACGCCAGGACAGCGGAGTCACTCACCACCTTCCGGAGACATTTGAAACCCCACCTCTTTAAGGAATACCTGGGATAGGATAAAGTATTCCTTCTAACCCCCCCCCCCCCCCCCCCCCCCCCCCCCCCCCCAAATTGTAAAGTGGTTATCCCACTGGCTATAGGGTGAACGCACCAATTTGTGAGTCGCTCTGGCTAAGAGCGTCTGCTAAATGACGTTAATGTGCCCTTGGCGTCAAGGGCACTTAACCCTAATTGCTCCTGTAAGTCGCTCTGGTTAAGAGCGTCTGCTAAATGACTAAAATGTAAAAATGTAAATGTAAATGTAGTCTATTGTATAGTTCATTTCAGTCCATCAATCCAACCTTACAATTATTTATTACACACTCAAGGGTTTTTCAGCATGTAGTTTCAATCTAACTCTGAATGTCACCAGTATCTCCCTCAAGCAGGTCTCAACCACATACTGCCCCACATCTGAATGAATAGGTTGTTTTCATGACAACATATTTAAGGGACATCCCAGCATCACGTAGATGTAGTGGCCTTGTGACTAACCCAGATCTCCAGTTACAGTAGAATCAGAAGGTGAGAACATGTGGAAGATAATGTTATGTTGTTCTAGAACTTTGTTGGTAAATCCTGGGGGTTTTGGGGGTCAAGGTGTACGTGGTCGGAACCAAGTGCACCAACTGCATCAAAGAAGAAACGTCTCAGGCCAAGTGGATAATTATCTCTGGAATACTTTTCATCCTGGCCGGAATTCTCATCCTCATCCCTGTTTCCATGGTAGCCAGATCAATCATCAGTGACTCCTCCACTAGGATCGGAGGGAAGACTGAGCTGGGGGCCTCGCTGTAGTTAGGCTGGGGCTCCCAAGTGGGTGGGCCTATGCCCTCCCAGGCCCACCCTTGGCTGCGCCCCTGCCCAGTCATGTGAAATCCATAGATTAGGGCCTAATTCATGTATTTAAATTTACTGATTTCCTTATATGAACTGTAACTCAGCTAAATCTTTGAAATTGTTGCATGTTCCGTTCATATTTTTGTTCAGTATATTTCATAAGATCCCTGGGTGACCCTACTGCAATAAAGGAGCTGTAAACAAAAATACAACACTGTATGCCGTTCATCCCTGACTTTTTCATTTCTACTGAAAATGACTTTACGAACAAAACCAGAACAAAACGATGTCCTTGTAATTCCTCACTACTCAGACACAGACACCAATAAGGAACTAGGTAGAAATGGGGAGTCTGGGGAGGTGAACCCAACGTCAGAATTACCATCAAATATGAGGAAGAACTCATAGTTATGTCTGCAGCTGTGACCAAATGGGGAAAAAAAAAACTGTTAGGTTTAAATCTAAATCAATTGGTATTATTAGATAGACCCATTTCTGTTGCCCTTTTACAGGAAACCATAGTTATAAATGAATGAAGCAGACGTGAAGTTGAGCATTTATGGTAAATAGTTCAGGCTGGTGTCTGCGTTCGATAAGAGATGTCAGGTGTAAACTTGGCCTCGGGTTGGCAGGACAGACACGGAGAGGATGTGAAGCGTGTGAAAACAACAAGTAACTTGCACACAGCTGTCATGGGGCCCTTACCGACTGATTCTGACTGTTGTTTTTACCCAAATGTGTTAGCCAAAGCTTTATAGGGTGTTTATATTCCATAATTGCCTGAAATAAAATAAATAAACATATATGAAAGATGTATTTTTAATTGTGGGACGATGATAATTATAGCAGTTAATTTACAGTGGAAATGTCTGTTTGGGTGGTAGGGGGTCCCAAATCGCCCACTGGGGAGCCAGGCCCAGCCAAACAGAATTAGTTTTTCCCCCAAAAAGGGCTTCATTATAGACAGAAATACTCCTCAGCACCCCTCCCTCCCTCCTCTGCCGATCCCGCAGCTGAAGAAGCCGGATGTGGAGGTCCTGGGCTGGCGTGATTACACGTGGTCTGCTGTTGTGAGGCCGGTTGGACGTACTGCCAAATTCTCTAAAAAGAAGTTGGAGGCGGATTATGGTAGAGAAATGAACATTTAATTATCTGGAAACAGCTCTGGTTTACATTCCTGCAGTCAGCATTCCAATTGCATACTCCCTCAAAACTTGAGACATATGTGGCATTGTGTGACAAAACTTCATATTTTAGAGTGGCCTTTTATTGTCCCCAGCACAAGGTGCACCTGTGTAATGATCTTGCTGTTTAATCAGCTCCTTGATATGCCACACCTGTCAGGTGGATGGATTGTCTTGGCAAAGGAAAAATGCTCACTAACAGGGATGTAAACAAATGTGTGCACAGAATTTGAGAGAAATAAGCTTTTTGTATGTATGGAACATTTCTGGGATCTTTTATTTCAGCTCATGAAACATGGGACCAACACTTTACATGTTGTGTTTATATTTTTGTTCAGTGTAGTTAGTGTTGGTGTGTGTTGGGTCTTGCCTACCGCTAGGTCGTCAGTCTCAGCTGCTAGCCCCCCTCAACCTGCTAGGAGGCAGATCACCGGGAGAGGCCCCGTCATTTACCCAATAAACCCATCTGTAGTCCTTCCGTTCTCGTGGTGGGTTCATCCATGGTCCGAAACGTTTCAATCCGGAAAGCTGAGACTTTCTGCTACCCTGGCGCTAGGATCCCTGCCCTAAGTTCCATGCTACCGCTACTTATTAGCAAGCACTCCGCCGCTTCAACTGTCATTGTCCATGTTGGGTCAAATGACATTAAACTCCAGCAGTCAGAGAAATTGAGAGAGGATTTTAAAACATTGATAAATACGCTGCTGGAATCTGGGAAGCAGTGCGTTGTTTCCGGACCTTTTCCATCCCCACGGATATGGTTTTTAGTCGTATACGCCAATTACACACCTGGCTTAAGGGATACTGCTGCACGATGGGAATTCCTTTTGTGGATAACTTTGCAGCTTTTACAGACCGACCAGGTCTATTTCTTCGGGACAATTTACATCTTAACAGGTATGGCTCCAGCATCCTCTCCACCAACATGTCTCTTACTCTTGCCTCATGTAGAGCCTTTGATACCTGACGTTGTGTATTTTCGGGGGTTGACTTTTGGGATTGTACGCTCCCCTATCAGACTATGTTCAATGCTCCTCTCCCAGTTTCATTAATTAGTCCCTCAATTGCAAATATGGAACAAACTTCAGCTAACAACCTTTCTGCAATTCCTAGATTATTGTCCAATCACCGTATTGCGAATACTACTTACATGCAGAGAGGTATTGTTAGTAGTAATCTTGTCCCCATAAAATGGAGCTCTGTCAATAGCTCGAAAATGGTTTATTGCTCATTCAGTGCAGCTTCAGGTGCTACCTTGGATACTCCATCTGATATGAATTCCCTTAGCAATGGCATTGGAATAATTCATTTGAATGCTAGAAGCCTGATCCAAAAGTTGGACTTTATTGAAATGTTGGTCTCACAATCAAATGTTGACTTACTGATTGATTGATTAAATGTTTCTGTGTCCATATCAACCTCTTTCCCAAAACAATATGAATGTCTAGTTTTAAATGTGGTACTTGGTAATAATGCTCATTTAACTCTAGCAGGGGTATATCACCCCCCCCCCCCCCCCCCCCCCCCCCCCCCTCAGCTCCTCCTCGTACTCTATGCAAATTATCTGATATACTGTCTAATTATGCAAACTCTGAATTACTGATTTTGGGAGATTTTAACCTGGATTGGCTTTCACCAGTATCCGATAAATTAAAAGATATTTGTACTGAGCTAAATCTAACTCAGCTGATAACTAAACCAACCCGTCCCAACTTTAAGAATCCAGTAAAATCTACTCTACTAGACATTATTCTAACAAATACCCCCCATAAATACACAGCCAGTGGGGTTTTTTCAAATGATATCAGTGACCACTGCTCTATTGCTTGTATTAGAGATACCAGGCTGAAACACTCTGATCCCTGTATAATCTCTAAGAGAAATTATAAACATTTCTCACAGCAAGCTTTTATCCTTGACTTATATCACTCTGAGCTTTTATCCACTTGCTGCTTTCTGGACCCGGTTTTAGCTCTTGCTTTTTTCTCTTCTATTGTTACCTCTATGTCTGATAAACACGCCCGCTTAAGAAGCACAGAGTAAGAAACCGAACCAGTTCTTGGTTCTCTCCTGAATTGTCAGGTATTTTTCTGCAAAAGAATCGGGCCTGGGCCTTGGCGAGGAAAACAGGTACTCCAGCTGATTGGCTGTTTTTTAGGCAATTGAGAAATAAATGTACTGCAGCTGTCAAAAAGGCAAAATCAAATTACTTCCTTAATGCTATGACAGATTCTGCAGGAGATCCTGCAAAAGTCTGGAAAACCGTTAATTCACTGAAACGGGGGAATTCTGCTGTTTCTCTTCCTAAGCAAATTATCTCAGACTCCTGTATTCTAAGTGAAAAAAATGATATTTGTGATGCTTTTAATAAGCATTTCATCTCTGCTGGTTTTTTATTTGAAAAGAAAAGTGGCCATTGTGGTACTGGCCAGTTAGTTGATTTTTCGTCTTGCTTTTCAACCGTTACTCTGAAAAATGGTAACCCTGTTTTTAGTTTCCAGAAAATAACTGAAGCAGAGGTTCCAGCTGCCCTGTGCGCCATTGATACTAAGAAATCCTTAGGCGCTGACAATTTAGACCCGTACTTACTTAAGTGTGCTGCACCTATCATTGCTGGTTCAGTGACACACATTTTTTATCTAACATTGAGCACAGGAAATATCCCTAAGGTGTGGAAAGCAGCTTTTGTTCTGCCATTACATAAGGGAGGTGACGGTAGTGATTTGGATAACTATCTACCCATCTCTAGGCTCCCTTGTCTGGCAAAGATCCTAGAATCTATAGTCAACAAACAGTTACAATCTTTTCTTTCTGTTAACAGTATTTTTAGCACCAATCAATCTGATTTTAGATCTAAACACAGTACCACATCGGCCACTATGCTTATTGTAAATGATATTGCAAATGCCTTAGATGATAGAAAGCACTGTGCTGCGTTGTTTGTAGATTTGTCAAAAGCTTTTGACACTGTAGAACATGCTATCCTTTTGAGTAAGCTGTAGGACTGGGCACTGATGCCTGTCGATGGTTTTATGACTATCTTAAAGATAGAACTCAGGCCGTCATAGTGGAACGGGGTCAAGTCTGACCCCTTACAGTTACTTAAAGGGGTCCCTCAGGGTTCAATAATTGGCCCACTATTGTTCTCACTTTATATAAACAACATTGGTGATGATATCAGATATTGTAAATTCCATTTATATGCAGATGACACAGTGATGTACTCTATTGCTCCAACAGCGGACCAAGCTTTAATGGAGTTGGAGTCTGATTTTAGGATACTACAGGGGTCTCTTTTACAGCTTAAACTTGTTTTAAACTCTAAGAAAACAAACGTCATGTTTTTTTCTAGATCTAAACTCTCAATTAGAAACACTTTTGTAATCACTAGCTTGGATGGTACTCAAATCAAACAGGTCTCTGCATATAAATACTTAGGGGTATGGTTAGATGATAGGCTTTCTTTTAAAAAACATGTTACTGAATTGGGAAAAAAGCTCAAATTCAAGATAGGGTTCCTTTACAGAAACAGGGCTTTTCTGTCCTCTGTAAATAGAAAACAAATTGTGCAGGCTACTTTTATGTCAGTTTTAGATTATGGTGACATTATCTATATGCATGCATCGGCAAACACATTAAAATCACTGGATGCTATTTACCATTGTGCACTCAGGTTTATCACGGGTCATAGTTACAAAACTCATCACTGTTTCCTATATCAACATGTGGGTTGGGCCTCTCTATCTGTGAGGCGAGAGCAACATGCTCTCTTGCAACATGCTCTCTTGTTTTTAAAGCACTTCTTTTAAAACTGCCTCCATATATATCATCATTAATTTCCACTAGATGTACAAAAAAAATGTAAAAAATGTACTAATTTTAAAACCAGATCACTGATGTGGATTACATTAGAGACTTCTGTGGTCTCCACAGTGTTGTGTAGAACTGCCTTCAGTTCCTTTGCACCTTATTTATGGAACAAACTGCAGATCCAACTTAAGTTAGACACTCTGGTGTCCCTTGCCCATTTTAAAAAATTTTTATGGAGGATCAATATGATGTTGTCTGTGATTGTTTCTGTTGAATTGTGTTTTTTGTTTTGTATGTTTGAAATGTTCTTGTCTGTATGTCTAAAACTGTACATGTCAACATGTTTACACAGGGCACAGCCGTAAAAGAGATCCAGGTCTCAGTCTGTTTTTCCCTGTTAAAATAAATATTTTAAAAAACATGTAAATTATTTTCACATGTGAACTTCAAAACATGTTATTCTCCTCACATGTGAAATGGTGGTGTTAACATGTGAAATCTAAATTTAATGGATGTGAAAATATGGTTTCACGTGAAATTTAAGCTCAAATGTGAAAAATACAGATATTTCACAGGTGAAACTGCAAATTTGATATATATATATTTTTTTGTAAGGGCAAACTGTTTAAGACTATATTGTCTTATGATGCTCCTCCCTCCCTCCCCCCTCCCTCCCCTCCTTACCCCTCCTCCCTACCTCCACCCTGAGGTGGAGGTTATAAGTACCTGTACTCTTGGTAGTCCTCCCCCCACTTGGACTCAGACCTAGAGCAGCACACGGAGGCGACCACCCACTGTATTCAGATTACACTGAGAGAAAACAAAGAACCTCTACGCCACACAGAGGAAGACAAAAGACTGTCCAGTTTCACTCAGACACACAGACAAACAGAGAAACCAACGCCAACCGGATCCAAGATGGTGTCGACTGGGCTACAGATGTTGGGCACGGCCCTGGGGATCATAGGCTGGATCGGCACTATCATCGAATGCGTCATGCCCATGTGGAGGGTCTCCGCCTTCATTGACAGCAACATCATCACATCTCAGACCACCTGGGAGGGACTCTGGATGAGCTGTGTGGTCCAGAGCACGGGCCAGATGCAGTGTAAGATCCACAACTCCATGCTGGCCCTGAGCTCTGACCTGCAGGCTGCCAGAGCCATGACCATCATCGCCATCCTATCCGGCATCATCGGCATCCTGCTGGCTGTAGCCGGGGGAAAGTGCACCAACTGCATGGAGGACGAGGCGTCCAAGGCTAAAGTGGGCGTGGCGTCTGGGGTGGTGTTCATCATTGCAGGGGTCCTGTGTCTGATCCCCGTCTGCTGGTCGGCCCATAGTATCATCCGGGACTTCCACAACCCTTTCCTGTTAAATGCTCAGAAGAGGGAGCTGGGGGGCGCGCTCTACGTGGGCTGGGGGGCAGCTGCCCTGCTGCTGATTGGAGGGGGCCTGCTCTGCTGCAACTGCCCCGACAAGGACGAGGGATCGTACACCGCCAGGTACAACAAGACCCCTCGCTCCGAGACCCGGGGCGCAGCCTCTGGAAAAGACTACGTCTGAGAAAGGAAGAGAGGGAAGAGAGGGAGAGAGAGAAGAATGGAAGAGCAAGAAAGGGAGAGAAGAGAGCGAGGTCTGTCATGAGAGAGCGTCTGTCTGTAGCTGAGATCCAGCTGTGTATATATGGACTCTGTATTCTGGCACTATGGTCACTATAGTGCTGCTGATTTAGGAAGGTTTGATAAAGAGGATATTTGAACGTGATGAGCAAAGAGGAGGTGTCCATGGAAGTTAGAGTTGAAAGTGAACCACAGCTGAAGCTAGGTCTAAAATATAAGTGTTTGCATAAATGTTTTCCTAACCTGTATATTGTTGACCTAGACCAGTAGAAGGAACTGAATTCCTTAAAAACAACCCTGTGCAGTCTGCAACATTGTCCTGGGCTGGTTTGGCTGTCTCTCTCTCTCTCTGTGTGTGTGTGTGTGTGTGTGTGTGTGTGTGTGTGTGTGTGTGTGTGTGTGTGTGTGTGTGTGTGTGTGTGTGTGTGTGTGTGTGTGTGTGTGTGTGTGTGTGTGTGTGTGTGTGTGTGTGTGTGTGTGTGTGTGTGTGTGTGTGTGTACATGTTATTGTTAATATTGTCATGTGTATCTTTTCTTAAAGTGTATGAGTTACAGTAGATAGTTGTGAAACTGTAAATAGATATTTTCCTATGTATTTGAATTTATGTTTTGATGGCATTTCATCAACACCATTTCAACATGAGAAGTATTTCAGCACTGTTTCTATCAGGGATATGCAATAACTGCAATAACTTTCATGCAACTAAATAGCAACATATTTCTCAGGTATTTTTCCCTGCAGTTGTACTATCTAAAGGGGGAATTCCTACCCTAGACATACAGTGGGGGAAAAAAGTATTTAGTCAGCCACCAATTGTGCAAGTTCTCCCACTTAAAAAGATGAGAGAGGCCTGTAATTTTCCTCATAGGTACACGTCAACTATGACAGACAGAATGAGAAAAAAAATTCCAGAAAATCACATTGTAGGATTTTTTATGAATTTATTATGGTGGAAAATAAGTATTTGGTCAATAACAAAAGTTTCTCAATACTTTGTTATATACCCTTTGTTGGCAATGACACAGGTCAAACGTTTTCTGTAAGTCTTCACAAGGTTTTCACACACTGTTGCTGGTATTTTTGGCCCATTCCTCCATGCAGATCTCCTCTAGAGCAGTGATGTTTTGGGGCTGTCGCTGGGCAACATGGACTTTCAACTCCCTCCAAAGATTTTCTATGGGGTTGAGATCTGGAGACTGGCTAGGCCACTCCAGGACCTTGAAATGCTTCTTACGAAGCCACTCTTTCATTGCCCGGGCGGTGTGTTTGGGATCATTGTCATGCTGAAAGACACAGCCACGTTACATCTTCAATGCCCTTGCTGATGGAAGGAAGTTTTCACTCAAAATCGCACGATACATGGCCCCATTCATTCTTTCCTATACACGGATCAGTCGTCCTGGTCCCTTTGCAGAAAAACAGCCCCAAAGCATGATGTTTCCACCCCCATGCTTCACAGTAGGTATGGTGTTCTTTGGATGCAACTCAGCATTCTTTGTCCTCCAAACACGACGAGTTGAGTTTTTACCAAAAAGTTCTATTTTGGTTTCATCTGACCATATGACATTCTCCCAATCCTCTTCTGGATCATCCAATTGCACTCTAGCAAACTTCAGATGGGCCTGGACATGTACTGACTTAAGCAGGGGGACACGTCTGGCACTGCAGGATTTGAGTCCCTGGTGGCGTAGTGTGTTACTGATGGTAGGCTTTGTTACTTTGGTCCCAGCTCTCTGCAGGTCATTCACTAGGTCCCCCCGTGTGGTTCTGGGATTTTTGCTCACCGTTCTTGTGATCATTTTGACCCCACGGGGTGAGATCTTGCGTGGAGCCCCAGATCGAGGGAGATTATCAGTGGTCTTGTATGTCTTCCATTTCCTAATAATTGCTCCCACAGTTGATTTCTTCAAACCAAGCTGCTTATCTATTGCAGATTCAGTCTTCCCAGCCTGGTGCAGGTCTACAATTTTGTTTCTGGTGTCCTTTGACAGCTCTTTGGTCTTGGCCATAGTGGAGTTTGGAGTGTGACTGTTTGAGGTTGTGGACAGGTGTCTTTTATACTGATAACAAGTTCAAACAGGTGCCATTAATACAGGTAATGAGTGGAGGACAGAGGAGCCTCTTAAAGAAGAAGTTACAGGTCTGTGAGAGCCAGAAATCTTGCTTGTTTGTAGGTGACCAAATACTTATTTTCCACCATAATTTGCAAATAAATTCATTAAAAATCCTACAATGTGATTTTCAGGAAAAAAAATCTCAATTGGTCTGTCATAGTTGACGTGTACCTATGATGAAAATTACAGGCCTCTCTCATCTTTTTAAGTGGGAGAACTTGCACAATTGGTGGCTGACTAAATACTTTTTTCCCCCACTGTAGACTGTTCTCTCTGCTACCGCACGGCAAGCGGTACCGGAGCGCCAAGTCTAGTTCCAAAAGGATTCTTAACAGCTTCTACCCCCGAGCCATAAGACTGCTGAACAGCTGATCAGATGGCCAGCCGGACTATTTGCATTGACCCCATTCCTTTTTTTACGCTGCTGCTATTCGCTGCTATTATCTATGCATAGTCACTTCACCCCTACCTACATGTACATATTACCTTGACTAACCTGTACCCCCGCACATTGACTCAGTACCGGTACCAGTAGCCTCGGTACCCCCTGTATATAGCCCCGGTACAACCTGTATATAGCCTCGGTACAACCTGTATATAGCCTCATTCTTGTTATTTTATTGTTGCTCTTTTCTCTTTTTTTCAAACTTTAGTTTATTTAGTAAATAATCAAATGGCTACCCAGACTAGTAAATATTTTCTTAACTCTTATTTTTCTTAAAACTGCATTGTTGGTTAAGGGCTTGTAAGTAAGCATTTTACGGTAAGGTGTAATCGGCGCATGTGACAAATACAATTTGATTTGATTTGAGTTAAACACGTGTAAATGGAACGTCCCACTGGGCACAGACATCAGTTCAACATCTAGTTTTGATTTACATTCGGCTGAGTTGTCAACTAACATGAATTCAATGTGAAATCAACAAAAACAACACCATGTCATTGGATTTAGGTTCAAAGTTGGGTTCAAAAACATGAAATGCCCTTATGTTGATGACTTTTTCCAAATCCAATCAGTTTTCCACGTTGATTCAATGTTTGGTTGAAATGACGTGGAAACAACATTGATTCAACCAGTTTTTGCCCAGTGGGGTAATTACAATCTCATGCACTTTTCTCTCTACACGTATTCTGACCTTGAATTTAAGAATGAGAATAGCATGCTATTCACCTGCTATTCATTTGGGGTGGAGATCAAATAAATGAAGTTGTGGCGGAGGTGTGTCTACAGATACGCCATATTCTGACCTTGACTTAATTCCCTCATAATTCCACCACCTTTACGCGCAAAAAAACGATGAATAAGGTCGAGCATCCTGTCGGTTCCAAGTGGAACAACATCTACTTAATTGTTTCCGATAGAAGTAACACCACTCTACGTGCACTGTAATTTACAAATTGATAAGAGCCTCCTGTAGCTCAGTTGGTAGAGCATGGCGCTTGCAATGCCAGGGTTGTGGGTTCGATTCCCATGGGGGGCCAGTACGAAAAATTTACGCACTCACTAACTCTAAATCGCTCTGGATAAGAGCATCTGCTAAATGACTAAAATGTAGTAAGAGCTAGGTAAATGAGAAAGCAGCTTGGATAAGGGAGTTGTAAACATAGGCCTAAACGACAAATGTTTTAAACTGAAGCATATCAACATATCACCTTTTCCACAGTGAAGTTTATGAAATGCTGGCCTTATAATTTGAAGGGATGAAATGTGGCGACCCAAGCTATAGGCTTCTGTAGCAATGCGCAAATGACAGTATAGCACCAAACCTACCGAGTTGGTTTATGATTTCTAGAATATTTTAATTATATACCCTGACTTTTTACTGTATTTAAATATATATTTATCGGTAGCCACCATCAGTTATATCCACATACATTTATAACTGTGACTTAAGTGTTAGTTTCCTTACATTTTGCATCATTCCATTACATCGTTAGTTTACCTTTCTTTCCTCTGTCTCGTTTGTCTGGTTGTTCCTGAGGATCACTAGCAATAATGGATCATATTAGGCGAACATATTACAAGTTGTGCAATAATTTGGGACTTGCAGCCTATTTGAATCATTATGGAACGCATACATAGCCGTTTAAACCTGGAGCCTGGCGCACGGTTTAAGACGACTGGACCGTTGTCATCACAGTTCTATGATTAGTGAGGATTATTAGGGTAGATTTATAAGACTGCTGTTTAACCCCTATTGTACACTTTTCTCAACTTCTGATATTTCACGGATTGAACAATTGAATTTGGCAACTTTCAGGATGAATCAAACTACTGTATTTTTGATTCACCAATATGTCTAGCACATAAAGGCTCTACAAAACCATTTTTTAAATTATAATTCATAATTGCTTTCCTAACCCTAAATAATATACAAGATCAGAGTATTTTTAAATCTACTAATTGGTGCTGAAAAGGAGATGTGTATTTGCATGGCTTTCTTTCATTGATCCCTAATATTCTGCAAGTTCTCTCCATATATTCTAATTAAAGGTACAGTACCAGTCAAAGGTTTGGACACACCTACTCATGTCAGGGTTTTTCTTTATTTGTACTATTTGCTCATTGTAGAATAATAGTGAAGACATCAAAACTATGAAATAACACATATGGAATCATGTAGTAAACCAAAAAAGTGCTAAACAAATCAAAATATATTTTATATTTGAGATTCTTCGAATAGCCACCCTTTGCCTTGATGACAGCTTTGCACAATCTTGGCATTCTCTCAACCAGCTTCACCTGGAATGATTTTCCAACAGTCTTGAAGGAGTTCCCACATATGCTGAGCACTTGTTGGCTGCTTTTCCTTCACTCTGCAGTCCGACTCATCACAAACCATCTCAATTGGGTTGAGGTCGGGGGATTGTGGAGGCAAGGTCATCTGATGCAGCACTCCATCGCTCCCCTTCTTGGTAAAATAGCCCTTACACAGCCTGGAGGTGTGTTGGGTCATAAACCCCTGTGTAGCTCAGTTGGTAGAGCATGGTGTTTGCAATGCCAGGGTTGTGGGTTCAGTTCCCACGGGGGGCCAGTATGTATACCCCACCCCCCCCCCCCCCAAAAAAAGCCACAGTGGTTGGAAACAAACATCTCCAATCTGGACTCCAGACCAAAGGACAAATTTCCACCGATCTAATGTCCATTGCTTGTGTTTCTTGGCTCAAGCAAGTCTCTTCTTATTATTGGTATCCTTTAGTAGTGGTTTCTTTGCAGCAGTTCGACCATGAAGGCCTGATTCACTCTGTCTCCTCTGAACAGTTGATGTTGAGATGTGTCTGTTACTTGAACTCTGTGAAGCATTTATTTTGGCTGGAATTTCTGAGGCTGGTAACTCTAATGAACTTATCCTCTGCAGCAGAGGTAACTCTGGGTCTTCCATTCCTGTGGCGGTCCTCATGCGAGCTAGTTTCATCAAAGCGCTTGATGGTTTTTGCGACTGCACTTGAAGAAACTTTCAAAGTTCTTGAAATTTTCCAGATTGACTGACCTTCATGTCTTAAAGTAATGATGGACTGTTGTTTCTCTTTGCTTATTTGAGCTGTTCTTTTGTATACCCCACTACCTAGTCACAACACAACTGATAGGCTCAAACGCATTAAGAAGGAAAGAAATTCCACAAATTAACTTTTAGGAAGGCACACCTGTTAATTGAAATGCATTCAAGGTGACTACCTCATGAAGCTAGTTGAGAGAATGCCAAGAGTGTGCAAAGCTGTCATCAAGGCAAAGGCAAACTTTGAAGAATCTCAAATATAAAATATATTTTGATTTGTTTAACACTTTTTTGGTTACTACATGATTCCACGTGTATTATTTCACACTTTAGTTTTGATGTCTTCACTATTATTCAACAATGTAGAAAATAGTACAAATAAAGAAAAACCCTTGAATGAGTAGGTGTGTCCAAGCTTTTGACTGGTACTGTGTACCAAATGTAAAGGGAAGGCTTTTGATAAATGTACTGAAAACCCTATTGAATGAAAACTCCACAAGAAGTAGGAGGGTTTTCAGCGGTTTATTCAGTGCGCGCAAGGGAACCACGCCTGGAAAGCACATTATACATAAGGTAATTCTGATTACCAACTACTGAGAAGTGCGTAGGAAAGGCATGTGTAGGAGAGGCGTACGTTTCCTAAGTCTGAATCAGGCCCTAAATTACTGGCTATTAGTTATAACCTAAGGGAAGTTGCTTTGCATGGTATAAACTAGTATTTCCCTTGTCAAATAGGAGAGCAGGATTTAACAGGAAGCCATTTTGAACAAAGCCTGTTTGGAGAAGACGGAACTCACTCCAACCCACTGGTTATCTTGAATTCAAATTGTTTGGCGTATTCAAGATAAGCCAACCAGTGTGTTGTAATTTTGCATTTTCAAAATATAGTTTTTTTCTCTCAGTGCACCTGGAAATAGCCTACTATGTGTGAATTGCTCTTTATTCAATTGAACAAAAGCCATTTTGGAAAACAACTTGAGAAGGACCCATAGTCTTGAATCACCCATCGGTACTAGGTGTGGCACAGTAAAGGAACCTGGGGTGGATAGTTCTCAACAGGACTGGAGGTTGGGGTTCTATTTGAATAAGTACAATATTTTATGTACTCAACTGACTGATCTGGTATAATTTGTCTACAGTGTCAATATTGAAATCCCAGGTGGTGTTTTGCATGGGGGGAGAGAGAGAGAGAGAGAGAAGAGAGAGAGAGAGGATAGAGATAGAGAGAGAAGAGAGAGAGAGAGAGAGAGAGAGAGATAGCATTACGCGCATATCGAAAGGAGTAGATAGAGACCGAGCGAATCTCGAAGCGCTCTCTCGCTCCTCTCTATCCGCTCTCTCGCTCGCTCGCGCCTCCTGCCATCGCTCCGTAGCTCTTCCTCTCGCTCTCTCTCTCTCTCTCTCGACTCGCTCCTCGAGATGATCTCTCCTCCTCTCGCTCCTCTCTCTCTCTCTCTCTCTCGCTCTTCTCCCTCCTCTATATGATTACAAAACCCCTCCTCCCTATTCCGTCCACTTTTTCACAGAAACCCTAAAAGTCAGAGACGTAGATGAGGTGAGTTCTTCATTGTCAACATCTACCCTGTTCAGGCTATACTCTCCTGTCTCTCTCTATCTCTCCTTCCATCAGCTTCAATCCGTCCATACTACCAGGGCTCCATCAGGATGGTGTCGGCTGGGCTACAGATGCTGGGCACGGCCCTGGCGATCGTCGGCTGGCTGGGAAGCATCATCATCTGTGCTCTGCCCATGTGGAAGGTGACAGCCTTCATTGGAGCCAACATCGTCACCGCTCAGGTCATCTGGGCAGGGTTGTGGATGAACTGTGTGACCCAGAGCACGGGACAGATGCAGTGTAAGGTCTACGACTCCCTCCTGGCCTTGCCCCAGGACCTGCAGGCCGCCAGGGCTCTGATCATAATCGCCATAATCGCTGGCGTGTTCGCCATCCTGCTGGGCATCGCTGGCGGGAAGTGCACCAACTTCGTGGATAACGAGACCTCCAAGGCCAAGGTTGCCATCGCTAGCGGAATCGTCTTCCTCATTGCTGCCCTTCTGGTCCTGGTCCCTGTCTGCTGGTCGGCCAACACCATCATCCGAGACTTCTACAACCCCCTTTTGGTCGAGGCCCAGAGGAGGGAGCTGGGAGCCTCACTCTACATCGGCTGGGGCTCCGCAGGGCTGATGATCCTGGGCGGGGCGCTCCTCTGCAGCTCCTGCCCCCCCCAGCGATGAGAACCACGATGTCAAGTATTCCAAGGCTGCTAGCTCCGTGGCTGGCAGCAGCAAGGCCTACGTCTAGAGGGTTAGACACACCACAGACCAGACCACCACAGACCAGCACCAGGGGATGAGGGGATGGACAGCCAGCCTGGTGAGAGGACTGAAGGGAAGTGGTGTTGAAACTCTCCAGGTTGTTCACTGTGCTGTTTTAATGTTTTTACTGAAGCTTTTGCCACATTCTTCGCACTAATGAAGTTTCTCTCGTGTGAATTTGCTGATGGAGTTTTTTTGCTTTTACTGTCGTGCTCGACTGTGGTACCAAAGTGAAATATAAGGGTCAATGTATGAGTGTGTTAACAGTGTGTTGGCTAAAGTATGTACTTTTCTAGTTAGTGTAAAATGTGATGTCAGTTGCTGTGCAAATCATTTATTCAAATGTAGAAGAATCCTTCTCTAGGACCTCAGAGAAAAAGTATACAATCAAGCATCGTAAAAACAGAATTCCACTCAATCTTGAACAACATTGTTATCATTTTTAAAGCATGGTTTTGGACTTTCCAGAATTTTAAGTTGTAAAACAACTGGCACGTTCATGAATTAGGGAAGGTTTAATTTAACTGTTCTATTAATATTGTTTTATGTTTTTGTATGTTGCCTTCCGACTGTCACATGGATATCTTTTGTTTTTTTATCACTCAGTACTACCATATATTATTATTAATATTATTATTATTATTATTATTATTATTATTATTATTATTATCTGCATCCTAAGGCATATTTTAAACCAATATATTAAGGATTCTATTATTCCAAATAAATGTTTTTAATAAACAGTTATATTTCCAAGTCAGACCTTTATTTCAGGTTTTAAAAAATGTAGATATTTTTTAAACTTTAACTCATAATGACAGTTTATTTTCCTGAGGGGAATAGCACAATGTGTATGTATGTGTGTCACAAACACACACACCGAAAGTCTGTTATTGCACCCCGAAAAAAAACTGTTGGGAGTGCTAAATTAAAAATAATGGTCTGAAGGAAATCTGTCAAACGGTTGTTTTAAAGAGATGTACATGTGGCCTATTTTCAGAGGGATGCTACAAATGGAGGGAAGGGGGGAAAAGGTAAATCGAGAGGGAAGGGGGAAAGGAAAAACAGAAGGGGGGGAAAGAGAAAAAGGGGGAAGGGGGAAAAGAAAAGAAGGGGGAAGGGAAATTAAAATAATAAAGGGAGAAAAAAAGAAAAAGGGAAAAAGGGGGAGGGAAAAAAAAAGGGGGAAAAAGGGGGGAAAAAAAAAAAAAAAAAAAAAGGGGGGGAAAATTTTTTTAAAAAAAAAAATAAAAGGGAAAAGGGTTTTAAAAAAAAGGGGGTTAAAAAAAAGGGGAAAAATTTTAAAAAAAAAAGGGAAAATTTTGGAATTTAAAAAAAAGAAAAAAAAAGATAAAAATATAAATTTTTAAGAATTTAAAATTTTAAAATAAAGAAAAAAAAAAAGGGAAAAAGGGGAAAAAAAAAAAAATTTTTTTTTTAAAAAAAAAAAAAGGGGGGAAAAAAATTTTTAAGGGTTTTTTTTTTTTTTTTTTTAAAAAAAAAAAAAAAAAAAAAAGAAAAAAAAGGTTTTTTTAAAAGGGGTTTTTTAAAAAAAAATAAAAAAGGGAAAACAAAAAGGGAAAAATTTTTTAAAAAAGGGGTTTTAATGGGTCTTCCACCTTGGGGGAACCCCCTGGGGGCAGTTTATCTAGTTTGTGTTTTTGCAGCACTTGAAAAAATTTAAATTTTGAAAATTTTTTTACACCTTTTGTCAAAATATACTGTTTTTTTTTTTGTTTGGTTTTTCTTTTTAACCCCCCCCAATAAAAAATAAAAACCATTGAAGGAAATTTTAATTTTTGGAGAACCCTTAAGAAGCTTTTACTCCCAAAACCCCATTGAGAAATCCAATGGTAAAACGTATAAACCAAAGGAAATTTGGACCATATAAAAAAATTTTTTTTGTTTTTAAATTTTTTTTCCCTATTTCCCCCTGTAATTTCACCTTTTTTTAGTCTTCATTTATTAAAGGAAAAAAATTAATAAAAAAACCCACAATGATATGGGGTTAAAATTTTTTGGGATTTTAAAAAAAAGGGGGTTTTTATAAATTTAAAAAAAAAGAAAGAAAAAAAAGAAAGGAGGGAAAAGGGAAAAGGGGAAGGGAAAAGCCTGGAAAATTATAACCTAAGGGAATTTTTTTCCCAAAAAATTTCTTAAACCCAGGGAAAGGGACGTTTTAAATTACTTTTTTAATAAAAATTTAAAAAAACTGTTTAAAAGAAACAACTTTTTAAAAACCCCGGGGTTTTCATAAAAATAAAAAAAAAAGGGGGGAGAAAAAAGGGGGGGGGAAAAAAAAGGGGGGAAAAAAAAAGGAATTTTTTAAAACATTATGGAAGGTTAAAAAACGGTGTGGGAAAACTTTTGGGGGAAAAAAGCCCCCCCCGTGGTTGATTTGACTATACCCCCCCTACTAGTCAACAACACTGATAGCTAAACGCATTAAGAGGAATTCCACAATTAACTTTTAGGAGGCCACCTGTTAGTTGAATTCAAGTGACACCTACATGAAGCTAGTTGAGAGAATGCCAAGAGTGTGCAAAGCTGTCATCAAGGCAAAGGCAAACTTTGAAGAATCTCAAATATAAAATATATTTTGATTTGTTTAACACTTTTTTGGTTACTACATGATTCCACGTGTATTATTTCACACTTTAGTTTTGATGTCTTCACTATTATTCAACAATGTAGAAAATAGTACAAATAAAGAAAAACCCATGAATGAGTAGGTGTGTCCAAGCTTTTGACTGGTACTGTATACCAAATGTAAAGGGAAGGCTTTTGATAAATGTACTGAAAACCCTATTGAATGAAAACTCCACAAGAAGTAGGAGGGTTTTCAGCGGTTTATTCAGTGCGCGCAAGGGAACAACGCCTGGAAAGCACATTATACATAAGGTAATTCTGATTACCAACTACTGAGAAGTGCGTATGAAAGGCATGTGTAGGAGAGGCGTACGTTTCCTAAGTCTGAATCAGTTGTATTTGAATAAGTACAATATTGTATGTACTCAACTGACTGATCTGGTATAATTTGTCTACACTGTCAATATTGAAATCCCAGGTGGTGTTTTCATGGAAGAGAGAGAGAGAGAGAGAGAGAGAGAGAGAGAGAGAGAGAGGAGAGAGAGAGAGAGAGAGAGAGAGAGAGAGAGAGAGAGAGAGAGAGAGAAGTGGGTTGTAATGATGTCAGATGTAATGGATAGGTTAATACAACCGGTGTATGGGGCATTTTCTTGCAGAGTAAAGTGCTCCTGTCCTTTCCTCAGACTCCCAAAGTGAATAGGTATTCACTGTTTTAGTTTACTTTTTAATGCTCACATTTATAACAAAAAGTGCACATTTTCAATACCAAATCAAAAATCTAAGTTAACATTATTCTGCCAGTAAATCATACATTACATAAGTAGTATCTATTTTTGGCATGTGACGAAATACACCTGTTTGTCTTGTTTTTTTTTATTCTTGACCCTTTAGACAGGTCACAGGTGTATTTCCTCCTTAAAGGACAATCATATTTTGAAAGTTATATATGTTGAAAACTTGAGTGCTGACAAGCAAAACATTGTGGGACTATGTCAATAATGGACTAATGAAACATATACCAAAAGATAGTTTTTGTGCTGAGTTTTCCTTTAAGGTAAAACTACTCAAATGTATGTATTCATTGCCTCCTACTGCACTGAGGAGGTATAACACTCTGGTCTCATGAGGATACATTTAAATTTCAGCAGTGGAGTAAAAGTAAAGATACCTTAATAGAAAATGACTCAAGTAAAAGTTACCCAGTAAAATACTACTTGAGTAAAAGTCTAAAAGTATCTTGTTGTGGAAAGAAGTACTCAATTGTCATACTTGAGTAAAAGTCCAAGTAAATGCTATACATCAAATTCCTTATATTAAGCAAACAAGACTGCACGAGTATTATTATTATTATTATTATTATTATTATTATTTACTAACTATTATTATTATTATTATTATTATTATTATTTACTGACGATTATTATTATTATTATTATTATTATTATTTATTTATTTTTACGGACAGCCAGGGGCACTCAGACATCATTAACAAATGCAGTATTTGTGTTTAGTGAGTCCGCCAGATCAGAGGCAGTAGGGATGACACGTTATTATTGATAGGTGAGTGAATTGGACCATAATTCTGTCCTGCCTGAGCATTCGAAATGCAACGAGTACTTTTTGGTTTCAGGGAAAATGTATGGGTGTAAAAAGTACATATTTTCTTTAGGAATGTAGTGGAATAAAAGTAAAAGTTGTAAAAAAATATTTAAATAGTAAAGTACAGATACCCCACTAAACTACTTAAGTTGTACTTTTACTTAAGTACTTTACACCACTGCATTTCAGTCTTTTACCAAGATCCAGAGTTTATGTCACTCTCTGTAAAGATAGTTTGGGAAATACTATACTGAAGTTAATACTGTGTGTGTGTGTGTGTGTGTGAATGTGCGTTTGTGTGTGTGTGTGTGTGTGTGTGTGTGTGTGTGTGTGTGTGTGTGTGTGTGTGCGTGCGTGCCTGTGTCCAGGTGGGGGTTGTAGAGAGAGACCTTGTCCTGTGTTTGGGAGCGATACTTGAGGTCCTTCAGAAAAGCTGGTATCAGGAGAGCAAAACACACAAAGAGCAGGAAACAAGGCCCAGGGATATCCAGTGTCGGCTTTCCTCTATTGTTTGGGAGCACAGAAACCCAAACCCCACCCTCCCTCCCTCCCTCCAAAGTGTGAACTATATAATAAGATCCTGTTTACTCCTTTTTATCCCAGATCCCAGGTGGAAGACCACCAGGTCAGTCTGAAGGAAGAAGAAGAAGTACAACAGCAGCAGTAGATTCAGCATACCAGCCATAGTAACCAGCAGCACTGGTATACCTTGAACTTTCTATACTTTAACAATGGCTTCCCAGGGCCTCCAGATCATGGGAGTAATGCTGGCCATGATTGGCTGGCTGGGGACCATCCTCACTTGTGCCATGCCTATGTGGAGGGTCACTGCCTTCGTCGGAGCCAACATTGTCACCGCTCAGGTAATCTGGGAAGGGTTATGGATGAACTGCGTGGTCCAGAGCACAGGCCAGATGCAGTGTAAGGTCTACGACTCCATGCTGGCCTTACCCCAGGACCTGCAGGCTGCCAGAGCCATGGTCATCGTGGCAGTGATTGTGGGTGTCTGCGGAGTCATGATGGCCATCGTCGGGGGGAAGTGCACCAACTGCATGGAGGACGAGGCTGCCAAAGCCAAAGCCTGCATCATTGCCGGGATCGTCTTCATCATCTGCGGCCTCCTCATCCTCATCCCTGTGTCGTGGTCGGCCAACACGCTGATCAGAGACTTCTATAACCCCATGGTGATAGAGGCCCAGAGGAGGGAGCTGGGGGCGGCTCTATATATTGGCTGGGGCTCCGCAGGGCTGCTGCTGTTGGGAGGGGGTCTGCTCTGCTGCAACTGCCCCCCCCCCAAGGAGGGCAACATGGGCAGGCCATATGTGGCGGCTAAGTTTGCCCCCGTCCGGACCACACCTCCATCCATGAACTATGTTTGAGTGAGCAGTAGAGTCTCTGGTGGATATGGGGACATTTGACATTGACATTGTAGTCTTTTAGCAGACGCTCTTATCCAGAGCCACTTCCAGTTAGTGCATTCATCTTCAGATAGCTAGGTGGGACTACCATATATCACAGTCACAGTAAGTACATTTTCCTAGATAAAGTAGCTATTAGCAAAGTCAGAGCTAGTAAGGGGGGTTGAGGTGAGGAGGGGCATTATTTAAGAACCTCTTTGAAGAGGTTTCAGATGCTTCCAGAAGATGGGACTGGGGATATAGGAGCTGGTTGGGGTGTAACCTTCAGTTTTACAGATGAAATGTTGATGCTGTTATTGAGTTGAGTTGTCCGATTCTCTATTGCATCCGACACTAAGTTTTGTCTGCTCTATATATTGCCAGCTCTATGTACTAAATATATATTATATCTTATGACATGATATGATGTTTGGTCTGCTCCGCTTGGTATATTTCTATATTCTGAATGTTGCATCCCACTGAACAGACTACTATAATAAGATGAGGGGGGCATTGAATGGACGTATTGTCCCGCTGTTTATGATGTGTAGGGCACGAAGGCCATTTCTAACCACATGCACTGTAGATATTTGACTTTCAATAGGCTAGGTGACTTTTACATTGATGTCCTCTTGTGATAACTGAAATGTTTTTTTTTTCTGCTCAAATTGACTGTTATATTATTATGTCTGTATCCTATAATCAGAGTACTCTATTTTGTATGCTTTTCAGTATGTGAAAACATTTCCCCTTCATTTCACAAATATTCACATTTTAAATAAAAGTTGATTTGAAAAGGAAAATAAATGTTCTGTTTGAATATAAATCTTATTTTGCATCACTGTTTGAGCGACATTATTGTTCTCTGTTCATTCAAGTTGCGCAAAGTAGGCGCATAGACCTAGGTTGATTGATTAAGGGGAATTTCTATGGGCAAGTGCAGTTCGCCGTTGGGCTGTTTGACATTGTTAAATTGACTGTCCTCGTGGGGTGACAATGTTCTACAGAAGGATCCCTGAATACAACAGATGTCGGAGACACCTCGAGACAATCCGTCTGAGCGCGCCTGGAAACACGTTGCCGAGGACCAGGTTTTATGGGGTCATGGCCAGAAGGAATCCAACTTTTGTCAAATTGACGTCTGATTTGAATTTTCGTAGCAGGTTAGGAGAATTTACGCAGCAGGTTAGGAGAATTAAAGTAGAAGGTTAGGAGAATTAGGTTGTTAGGAAAAGGGTTTGGGTTAGCTAAAATGCTAAACAAATCCACTTCGACTTTAATTTGAAAAAAGATGGATCCCTTCTAGCTATGACCGTTTAATGGCTACAGGGAGCGCGCCTCTTTTCACATACAGTAGGCTACAGATCGCACATCTACCGATTCCTTTTCAGGTTAAAATAAATGTCCAAACGAAAAAGGCTTTTCCCCACCACCCATTTTCCCTTCAGACGGGTTTCTGAAAATGAACATTAACATAATGTATGTGCTGAGCAACCCTAATTATTCAGTTCTCACAATTCGTTGGGGAAAATATGTTTATTTCAAAAAAAGACTCCAAATATTAATTAACAACACTCTAAGAGCAAATAGTAAGTGCCTTTAGTTTTCTGAAGTGCTTCTGTTGCTCAATGTCCTTGCAGATTTTAAGTAAAAGTAGGCTAATGTGCAAGTAATTCCAAAAGGGAAAGAAATCAGGGAAAATCCCCCAAAACACGATGGTGTCTGTTTACAGTTCGAGCAAAACTCAGTCAAAATTCATAACAACAGGTTTAAATTATTATTCAATTACTCTCCTGATGTGATCGATAGTGATCGATAGCCATTCTAAATGCACAAGCAAAATAAAAGGCAAAATGTAGGCTATAAAGAAAACTAGGCTATAATATTGCATAGGCTAAGGCAGAGGTTCGCAAACTTTTTCACTCGCTCCCCCCTTCCAGCATTGGGGAACCTCCCGTGCCCCCTAATGTGTATTCATGTGATAATTGAGTGACTACAAAATTACAACAATATCTATGGGCTAAACTAAATAAATAAAAGACGTTAGCTGAGATGGGTTAGTTGATCTGGACATTTCTGACAAGTTATAAATAGCTCTCTAAGGTATGCAATGACTAACATGACAAGAGGAACTGATGATGCACTACCCAATTTCGAAATTGCACCTTGTGCAATCTACTATTACAACTTTGAAGAGTAAATTTAAAGCCAGACTGATTTCCGGACTGGGCTAAGGCACACATCTCTTTTGAAACTAACGTTCCAAAAACAGTAGTCAAATAAATTAGTAACACCATGCAAGACAAACAATTTACAAAAACGAAAGAATCTAAACACCTTTTCCATATTTTTTGTCTTTTTTTTAACAAACGAAAATCAAACGAACAAACTCATACAAATTATTTCCCCGACGCAGAGGACTTGGGCGCGGTGTACTTCGCTCCATTATAGCGGTCTCCCCTCGACGGGCACTGACAGCAAAGGAGCGCGCCCCCGATCAGGAGCAGTCCTGACGCGCCCCAGCCGACGTACAGGGACGCGCCCAGCTCTCTCCTCTGCGAGTCGGGTACCAGGGGGTTGTAGAAGTCCTTTATGACGGCGTTAGCAGGCAGGCACACAGTGACCAGGCACAGCGCCCCAGCCACAAGGAAGAACAACCCCGCAGTGATGGCCACCCGGGCCTTGGCCGACTGGTCCCCGACGCAGGTGGTGCATTTCCCCCCGACCACCGAGAGCAGGAGCCCGAACAGGCCCAAGAGGATGGCGATGACTACCATGGCCCGGGCCGCTTGGAGGTCCGGAGGCAAGGCCAGGAGGGAGTCGTAGACCTTACACTGCATCTGGCCTGTGCTCTGCACCACGCACGTCATCCACAGACCCTCCCAGATGGTCTGTGCCACCACAATGTTGTTTCCGATGAAGGCCGAGACTTTCCACATTGGGAGGATGCAGATGATGATGTTCCCCATCCAGCCCAGCACCGCTAGCCCGACGCCCAGAATCTGCAGCCCCAAAGATACCATCGTTTCCGGCTACTGCTACTGTTGCTCCTATATGGATCTCCCTCTTCTCCTCCAAAAAGCGCACCGAGTGTGTGACCCCTATAGCGCAATAAGGTTATATAGAGAGCCAACTGAGCCCCCTCCATCCTCGAGGTGGGCTTTGGCTCCGATACTAAGAGATTCACACATCTATCAGGCTGTCCTGGAGTTCTGGAATGTTCCTCCCACACAGGAAGCCCCTCAATGTACCCAGCTGTGTACAAAATCCTGGAAAGATAACCTGAATGTGTCGTGGGCTGTTGCCAAGAGATATGCACCACATTTTAATTCTTATACTTTCGAAGCTAAAAAATAGACAGCTCCAATCTGCAAAAGTAGGCTACTAAATGATGAAACACACTTATTGCAACAATTATTGTGCAAACGTTTATTTGGGAAGGTTTCGACTTCTAATGGTCTCTGCAGTGTTGCCACAGGTGGATAGGTGTGTGATACATAAGACAGGGTTTCGTGGCTGGTTACAGGCCAATACACAGACTGAGTGTCATCTATGGCTGATTAATTAATCAGACACTATCTGAGCCTTTTATCTTATTCAGCGAGCAGGGGAGTGCGTAAAGAAGAATTACACATTATAACTAAAATAATAAGATGTTACACGATTTATTTTTATATTTGCACTATTGCACAATTTTTTTTTTACATCCAAAACCTTGAACGTCATTTATTTTAACATGAAATAACTAGGACGCTGTTATCACAAATTGTATGTTTTTTACTACCCTGCACTGCGATTGACACTAACTTTGGAGCCATGCCAGATGGTCGAAACTCAGCAAAGGTCTTTATCAGAATACAGTAAAGCATGCTGTTATCCAATAAAATAGCCTTCCCAATGAAATGTGAAGTAAACAAAATAAGAACACAAAATTGGAAACAACCAAGATCTCAAAAAACGTTAAATAGGCTGCTCACATTTTATGTGAGATCTAGAAAAGCATTGCTTTGTAGGCCGATACTTTACTTTTGAAAAGCTTTTCTCCAGTCGCGTTATATACAAAAGGAAAAAAAGAGGGAAGGAAGGAAAGAAAAAATGAAGAAATGAAAGAGAAGTATTATAGCAGGGACTTATGCTGCGTTCACATGCTAGTCGGAACTAGGAAACTCGGAATATCCGATGCACGTGTAGTGTAGGCCTATAAATACAACCAGTAAGCAAGTTGGACATTTTAGTTTCCTAGTTCGAGTAGCACGTGAAAGCGGCAATAGCCCACGTGGGAATTTGATTTCCATTGTTGGATGTTTGAAGGACAATTTATCACAGAAACCAACAGCTCATCCATAAGAATCAGCCAAGGCTAGGCGCACCTTCAATACTCTCCAAGCATGGCCATTCAGTTATTCGGAGATCAGTGGATACAACTGCGTTTAGTTAACATGCTGCACATGAACGGACTGGGTCTAATAGACTGACAGCTGGTATCAGTGATGGTAAATTGCGTAGGCTATGTTCAGCACGTGGTGGCAGAAATGGGAATGATACCTCATTCACGTGCTAGTCGGAACTAGGAAACTAGGAAATGTCTGACTTGCTAGCTCAGGGGTGTGAAACTCATTCCACAGAGGGCCGAGTGTCTGCAGGTTTTTGTTTTTTCCTTTCAATTAAGACCTAGACAACCAGGTGAGGGGAGTTACTTAGTAATTAGTTACCTTAATTCATCAATCAAGTGCACGGGTGAAGGGAAAACCCGAAGACACTTGGCACTCAGTGGAATGAGTTTGACACGTGTGCTAACTGGTTGAACGCGGAACGTGTATAACTACAACCATTTCGGACATTTCTGAGTTTCCTAGGCCGACTAGCATATGAACGCAGCATGACATTTGGGTAGATTGGGCACACTTATTAGTTCCGTGGGTGTGTATCGGCCAATAAACATAAACAGGTGTTTTCAATCGTCCCAATTAGTAACCATGCCCTGGTAGGTGGGTATAAAGGTTGGAGTCTGTACCCTCATCAAAACAATTAGCATCTCCACTGCTAAACTCTAGTCCTCCCGGTTTACGTCAGTCTGAGTAGATAGAACGCTATGGCCTCTGCCGGTCTCCAGATTCTGGGCATTTCCCTGGCTATCATCGGTTGGATCGGTGACATCATCATCTGCGCACTCCCCATGTGGAAGGTGACGGCTTTCATCGGCAATAATATCGTGACCGCGCAGATCTTCTGGGAGGGCCTGTGGATGAACTGTGTGATCCAGAGCACGGGCCAGATGCAGTGTAAGGTCTACGACTCCATGCTGGCCTTACCCCAGGACCTGCAAGCAGCCAGGGCTCTGGTCATAATCTCCATCCTTGTGGCCGTGATCGGCATCCTGCTCTCCATGGCCGGGGGAAAGTGCACAAACTGCATCGACGACGAGGCGGCCAAGTCCAAGGTGGCAATCGCATCCGGCGTGTTCTTCCTGGTCGCCGGCATCCTCTGCTTGATCCCGGTGTCCTGGTCCGCCAACACCGTCATCAAGGACTTCTACAACCCGCTTCTCACTGACGCGCAGAGGAGAGAGCTGGGCGCGTCGCTGTTCATCGGATGGGGCTCTGCTGGCCTGATGCTCATCGGGGGCGCACTTCTCTGCTGCCAGTGCCCCCAGCGCAAGGAGAGGGGGTACTCTGCCAAATATTCTGCCCCGCGCTCTGCAGCCAGTGGCGCGGCCTACGTCTGACAAGATTAACTCTGAAATTGACCTGTTTTGTCTTAAATGGAGACTATTGATGTAATCTAAATTATTCCTGAATGTGAATGTCTTCGCTTAACTGCAGTGCACCTTGTAATTCGAGTTATTTTATTTTTTTAAAGTTCTTTTTTTCATGAAATGGTTTAATGATTTATTGCTTTAATAAATGATTGTATTTTAATTTCTCTCGTTCTTAAATACTTTTTTGTTTCAAGTAGGCTATGGTATAGAAGCGTTTAAAACTGAGTCCTCAATCTCTTGAAGGTCAATTCCAATGTTAGGCTAGAATATACTAATCTTTCATTCTTCCCTTGAGCAAGGCAATTAACCCTAATTGGCTGATTTTCCTACTTGTGCAGGTTACCCACTTGTACATACAGTGAGCATGACTATAAGCACCACTTCCTATATTTCCCTGAAGCATAATTTAAGTAGGGTAACTCATTGTAATGGTTCTCCATGGGAAGTTATTTGCTGTGTATCTAGAAACAAACAATGGCTCAATTTTCTTCCATTAACAATTTGAAACTTCAGTAGGCTAGAATACACAATTTTACTGTGTTACAATCCATAAGGAAAGGAGTCATTGGAAAAATTCATATGGATGTCACATGACTGGAAATACAGATGCATTTGTTGGTCACATACCTTTTTAAAAAGGTAGGGGTGTGGATCTGAAAACCAGTCAGTATCTGGGGTGACCACTTGCCTCGGCATGTCCTTCACATAAAGTTGATCAGGCTGTTGCCTGTGGAATGTTGTCCCACTTTTCAATGGCTGTGCGAAGTTGCTGGATATTGCGGAGAACTTGAACGCTGTGGTACATGTCAATTCGGAGCATCCCAAACATGTTCAACGGGTGACCATGGGACTGGGACATTTTCAGCTTCCAGGAATTGTGTGTAGATCGTTACGACATGGGGCTGTGCATCATCATGCTGAAACATGAGGTGATGGCGGCGGATGAATGGCACGACAATGGGCCTCAGGATCTCGTCACTGTATCTCTGTGCATTCAAATTGCCATCAATACAATCAAATTGTGTTCGTTGTCCGTAGCTTATGCCTGCCCATACCATAACCCCACCACAACCATGGGGCACTGTTCACAACGTTGACATCAGCCATACACGTGGTCTGTAGTTGTGAGGCCAGCTGGATGTACTGACAAATTCTCTAAAATGACGTTGGAGGCAGCTTATGGTAGAGAAATTAGCATAAAATCATCTGGCAACAGCTCTGGTGGACATTTCTGCAGTCAGCATGTCAGTTGCATGCTCCCTCAAAACTTGAGATATCTGTGGCATTTTGTGACAAAACCACATTTTACAGTGGCCTTTTATTGTCCCCAGCACAAGGTGCACCTGTGTAATGCTGTTTAATCAGCTCCTTGACATGCCATACCTGTCAGGTGGATGGATTGTGGATGGATTATCTTGGCAAAGGAGAAATGCTCATTAACAGGAATGTAAATTCATTTCTGCACAACATTTTAGAGAAATAAGATTTTTTGTGCATATGGAATTTTTCTGGGATCTTTTATTTCAGCTCATGAAACATAGGACCAACACTTTACATGTTGCATTTATATATTTTTTCAGTGTATTTCCATGGTAACCACTGTCCACTCTCACACATTCCCATACTGGGGAATCAGGACAAGCCGGTAACCTGAGCCACAAACTAGCTCAATCCCCTCCCTGTTCTATTTCCTTTCACAATACCTGCAGTGTAACTAACACAAGGAAATGAGCTCTCATTCGACAACACTGTTCCCCTCTCACGGCTGCCTTGGCTGGTGGACTTGTAATCGTTGTTAGTTTCAAAGAGGAGAAAGGGGATGCTCTGGTCTGCTCTGCTCTGGTCTGCTCTGGTCTGCTCTGCTCTCACAGCTGCCTTGGATTAGCTGCAACATTTGGATTCATGGACATTTATAGATAGAATAGAGAATTAGATTTTTCCGCATCTGAACTATCAGGCCTTTTTCCAAGACCAGTCTCATTTTGTAGTGTAGGAAATACAAGCTAGGCGAAGTCAACCTCACGTCAGATACAACAAGCTAACGACAACATAATCATTAGAATACTTCCAGAACCCCCTTGTGGACACTTTCAACTATTCCGGGGAGGAACAATGAGCCGACAGATCCTTGCCTTTGTCCTGGCCTTCATCGGGTTCCTGGGGACCATCGTGATCTGTGCCCTGCCCATGTGGAAGGTCACAGCCTTCATCGGAGCCAACATCATCACCGCTCAGGTGTTCTGGGAAGGGTTATGGATGAACTGTGTGTTCCAGAGCACGGGCCAGATGCAGTGTAAAGCCTACGACTCCCTCCTGGCCTTACCCCAGAACCTGCAGGCCTCCCGGGCTCTCATCTGCGTCTCCCTCGGGGTCAGTGTACTCGCCATCGGGCTGACTGTAGTCGGGGCACGCTGCACCAACTTCTTCCATGACGACTGGCTGGCCAAGGAAAAGGTTGGCATTGCGGCGGGCGCGGTGTTCATGGCGGCGGGGGTGTTGTGTGTTATCCCTGTCAGCTGGTCTGCTCACACCATAATCCAGGGCTTCTACAACCCCCTGGCCAGCCAGGAGAGGAGAGGAGAGCTGGGGGCGTCCATCTACGTGGGCTGGGTGTCTGGAGCTCTGCTCATGATCGGAGGGGGGATGCTCTGCAGCACGTACAGGTGCTGAGGAGAGGAGAGGAGAGGAGAGGAGAGGAGAGGAGAGGAGAGGAGAGGAGAGGAGAGGAGAGGAGAGGAGAGGAGAGGAGAGGAGAAAGGAGGAGGACATTAGTTATGGATGCCAAAAGAGAGAAGAGAGGATATCAAATGCTGGCCTTGTCCTGGATGAGGGGAGTAATGGATGAGAGAGGATAACACATTCTCTCATCACTCCCCTAAAGACAGGGCTAAGTTTAGGATGATTTAGTCCACATTGCTCCCACCTAGAGGATGTTCTTGTGTGGAGATGTATTAGGTGAGGCCTGTAGATTAACTGTGTAGTGACTTTATGGTGAAATGCACAGGACAGATGCGGTGATTGCATCCCAAATGGGACCCTATACCCAATATAGTGCACTACTTTTGACCTGAGCCCTGGTCAAAATTAGAGCACTATATAGGGAATAGGGTGCCATTTGGGATGTAGCCTGTGTGTGGTCTACAACATCCTCCATCACTCCAGACAAGGTTTTGCAGCATCAGAGAGGCAGAGTGTTCCATCATGGCTGTCTGTGGAGGACAGACAGAAGACTAGTTCTGAGTGATATACATGTTTTTTAATTGATTGTAAACAAGAATGTCAAGCGATGAGAGACTGGTATCTGCTGGACAGCTCTTTATTCACCAGCATCATCAGAGCGTTTTAACCATAGAGTACACAGATAGATATACTGCTGTAGGACTGAATCCCTGCATAATCTTGCAGGGTAAAGTGAGACGGTATACCGGAGCTACAGTATGTGACTGTACAGTATATGTGACAGAGATCAGACTAGGTCAGGTTAAATCAGACTCAGGTTAGATCAGACTCAGGTTAGATCAGACTCAGGTTAGATCAGACTAGGTCAGGTTAGAACAGACTAGGTCAGGTTAGAACAGACTAGGTCAGGTTAGATCAGACTAGGTCAGGTTAGATCAGATTAGGTCAGGTTAGAACAGACTAGGTCAGGTTAGAACAGACTAGGTCAGGTTAGAACAGACTAGGTCAGGTTAGAACAGACTAGGTCAGGTTAGATCAGACTAGGTCAGGTTAGATCAGATTAGGTCAGGTTAGATCAGACTCAGGTTAGATCAGACTAGGTCAGGTTAGAACAGACTAGGTCAGGTTAGAACAGACTAGGTCAGGTTAGAACAGACTAGGTCAGGTTAGAACAGACTAGGTCAGGTTAGAACAGACTAAGTCAGGTTAGAACAGAATAGGTCAGGTTAGATCAGACTCAGGTTAGATCAGACTAGGTCAGGTTAGAACAGACTAGGTCAGGTTAGAACAGACTAGGTCAGGTTAGAACAGACTAGGTCAGGTTAGAACAGAATAGGTCAGGTTAGAACAGACTAAGTCAGGTTAGAACAGACTAGGTCAGGTTAGAACAGACTAGGTCAGGTTAGAACAGACTAGGTCAGGTTAGAACAGACTAGGTCAGGTTAGAACAGACTAAGTCAGGTTAGAACAGACTAGGTCAGGTTAGAACAGAATAGGTCAGGTTAGATCAGACTCAGGTTAGATCAGACTAGGTCAGGTTAGAACAGACTAAGTCAGGTTAGAACAGACTAGGTCAGGTTAGAACAGACTAAGTCAGGTTAGAACAGACTAGGTCAGGTTAGAACAGAATAGGTCAGGTTAGAACAGACTAAGTCAGGTTAGAACAGAATAGGTCAGGTTAGAACAGACTAGGTCAGGTTAGATCAGACTCAGGTTAGAACAGAATAGGTCAGGTTAGAACAGAATAGGTCAGGTTAGATCAGACTCAGGTTAGATCAGACTAGGTCAGGTTAGAACAGACTAGGTCAGGTTAGAACAGAATAGGTCAGGTTAGAACAGACTAAGTCAGGTTAGAACAGACTAGGTCAGGTTAGAACAGACTAGGTCAGGTTAGAACAGACTAAGTCAGGTTAGAACAGACTAGGTCAGGTTAGAACAGACTAGGTCAGGTTAGAACAGACTAGGTCAGGTTAGAACAGACTAAGTCAGGTTAGAACAGACTAGGTCAGGTTAGATCAGACTAGGTGACCTAGGTCAGGTTAGTAATAAAATGCATTTTGTCTTTGATCAAAACCTAAATCTGATATAGATTATGTTAGGTAAACTAATTGATTAATAGTAACTTCCTTTGACCTTGTAATGATGATGAGTCATGTGATGGACAACATTATCAATAAACTGCTCTCCTATATCGCTGAGCACTTGTCTGATTGTATGAAGTGTAGACACACAAAATGACACATTTAAGAATGCAAAATGTTTGTTTTATTTACTTTGCAGAAATATTGTGATATTTATATCAATTAAAGGCAGTGTTGACATTCAATGTAATAATTATTTAATGTAATTATTGACCCTTATTTTACCAGGTAAGATGACTGAGACTCAGTTTATTCTCGTTTACAGCAACGACCTTGGGAAGAGTTACCGGTGGGAGGAGAGGGGATGAATAACCATTTGGAAGCTGGGGATGGTTAGGTGGCAATGATGGTATGAGGGCCAGATCGGGAATTTAGCCAGGACACCGGGGTTAACACCCCTACTCTTACGATAAGTGCCATGGGATCTTTAGTGACCACAGAGAGTAAGGACACCCATTTTAACATCCCATCTGAAAGACGGCACCCAATGCAGGGCAATGCCCCCTTTACTGCCCTGAGGCATTGGGATCTCCTTAGACCAGAGGGAAATTAAATGAAATCCTATTGGACATCCAACACCACTTCCAGTAGCATCTGGTCCCCCATCCAGGGACCGACCAGGACCGACCCTGCTTAGCTTCAGAGGCAAGCCAGCAGTGGGCTGTATGTATATACTGTATGTATGTACTTACAGTGCCTTCCGAAGGTATTCACACCCATTTACTTTTTCCACATGTTGTTGTGTTACAGCCTGAATTTAAAATGGATTACATTGAGATTTTGTGTCACTGATCTACACACAATACCCCATAATGTCAAAGTGGATTTTGTTTTTTTAGAAATGTTTACAAATTAATAGAAAATGAAAAGTCAATAAGTATTCACCCCATTTGTTAAGGCAAGTCTAAGTTCAGGAGTAAAAATGTGCTTAACAAATCAAATAAGTTGCATGGACTCATTCTGTATTCAACAATGACTACCCCATCTCTGTACCCCACACTTAAAGATAATTGTAAGGTCCCTCAGTCGAGCAGTGAATTTCAAGCACAGATTTAACCACAAAGACCAGGGAGGTTTTTCAATGCCTCGCAAAGAAGGACACTGATTGGTAGATGTTTAAAAATCGACACTGGAGTTGCTTACCAAGATGACATTGAATGTTTCTGAGTAGCCTAGTTACAGTTTTGACTTAAATCGGCTTGAAAAACTATGGCAAGACTTGAAAATGGCTGTCTAGCAATGATCAACAACCAACTTGACAGAGATTGAAGAATTTTGAAAATAATAATGGGCAAATATTGTACAATTTAGGTGTGCAAGGCTTTATATTTGTAGACTGCAAATTGACTTCCAGAAGCCCAAACAGATATATTGATTACCTAAAACATAATCATTTCAAACCTTGCTAACATTTGTAACCATCACGTGTCTGTCTATTGTGCGTGGGAATACTTGGGAACAGATTTATTAAATTAAAATCACTTGGAGCTGATTTCCTGGTGTCTTTAGTCTTTTACGTTCAACAATGAAAAATAGATAAAATACATTATATATACATTTTCTGAGCAAGTGTTTTAATATATACAATACCAGTCAAAGGTTTGGACACATCTACTCATTCCAGGGTTTTTCTTTATTTTTACTATTTTCTACATTGTATAATAATAGTGAAGACATCAAAACTATGAAATAACACATATGGAATCATGTAGTAGCCAGAAAAGTGTTAAACAAATTAAAATATATTTTATATTTGAGATTGTTCAGATAGCCACCCTTTGCCTTGATGACAGCTTTGCACACTCTTGGCATTCTCTCAACCAGCTTCACCTGGAATGCTTTTCCAACCGTCTTGAAGGAGTTCCCACATATGCTGAGCACTTGTTGGCTTGTGTGTTATTTCATAGTTTCGATGTCTTTACTAATATTCTACAATGTAAAAAATAGTAAAAATATACAAAAAACGTTTAATGAGTAGGTGTGTCCAAACATTTGACTGGTAGTATACATATAAATATACATATATATATAAATATATATATATATATATATATATATATATATATATATATATATATATATATATATAAATATATACAGTGAGGGAAAAAAGTATTTGATCCCCTGCTGATTTTGTACATTTGCCCACGGACAAAGAAATGATTAGTCTATAATTTTAATGGTAGGTTTATTTGAACAGTGAGAGACAGAATAACAACAAAAAAATCTAGAAAATCGCATATCAAAAATGTTATAAATTGATTTTGCATTTTAATGAGGGAAATAGGTATTTGACCCCCTCTCAATCAGAAAGATTTCTGGCTCCCAGGTGTCTTTTATACAGGTAACGAGGAGCACACTCTTTAAGGGAGTGCTCCTAATCTCAGCTTGTTACCTGTATAAAAGACACCTGTCCACAGAAGCAATCAATCAATCAGATTCCAAACTCTCCACCATGGCCAAGACCAAAGAGCTCTCCAAGGATGTCAGGGACAAGATTGTAGACCTAGACAAGGCTGGAATGGGCTACAAGGCCATCGCCAAACAGCTTGGTGAGAAGGTGACAACAGTTGGTGCGATTATTCGCAAATGGAAGAAACACAAAAGAACTGTCAATCTCCCTCGGCCTGGGGCTCCATGCAAGATCTCACCTCGTGGAGTTGCAATGATCATGAGAACGGTGAGGAATCCCAGAACTACATGGGAGGATCTTGTCAATGATTTCAAAGCAGCTGGGACCATAGTCACCAAGAAAACAATGGGTAACACACTACGCCGTGAAGGACTGAAATCCTGCAGCGCCCGCAAGGTCCCCCTGCTCAAGAAAGCACATATATAGGGCCGTCTGAT